ATCTACGCTGTTTGTTTCGTCTAGTTTCGTTCTGTAAGGTTTGATCCTTAGGAGTTTAATCTGCTTGTGTATTGTTTGCATTTCCCAACAAGTAGGACAATTTACGGGCAGTGATAAACGCACCCAGCTTAAACCCATAGATATAAACAGCAATTTATATGATAACAAAGACCCATTTATAGATTACATTAAAAGTTTAAAAAGAATTTCTGTTTTGTTTGTATTTGTCTATCTCCCTTGTCTATTTCGTCTAGTTTGAAAACTTTGAGTTTTAATGATAAGGACAAAATAAATGGTAAGGTGAATAATACCATGATTGACTTTTTAATGGAAAAAAATATGATTTTTCGTTAAAGTGAACAGTACCGTGAATTTTTCGTTAAAACCCCCTTCTTTCTCATTCGGAGTTTAATCTGCTCGTGTGTTGTTTGTATTAGTTTTTCTATCTCCACTGTTTGTTTTGTCTAGTTTTGTTCCTTAAAATTTTTTATTTTTGTTTTCTAGTTTGGGTTACACTATGTGGTCGTTTTAAAAATATTATAAAATGAATATGTCGAAGTCTGGAGCCAGAGTTGTGCCCAGCCGCTGGAGCCACCATTCCACTGCTAAATCTCTATCTCGCACCGCCATCACGCTAAAGCTTCGATGTCACTGTCTGCCTGATTTGGACCCGCTAGCCCGACCCGCAGCCCGAAGGACTCGAATCTGACGAGCACAATTCTGTTTGCCACCTGCTATCTGATCGAACCAGCGTGACTCCTCTGCTTGAAAAGTTGTTGTCTTCAAGCTGGAGACCACCACCACTGCTGCTTGCCGTTGTACCTGATGAGAGAGTTGTGAATGATTTAGTGAGGAAGTTCTGAAGTTGGTGATCTGTGATTAAACAAGATTGGTACATTGAAAAATGATGTGTTTTAAGCCTTGACCGTATTCCGAATGATGGGGCCATTTACATTGATGAGAATGTTTTTGAATTGTTGGGAAAAAGGAAAAAAATATTGGCTGTTTGTTAGGCCTTTCGAGGCCTACACGGATAAGTTTTGCTAGAGTTTGCTTGCCTGTCAGTTTAGTGCATGGACCTGTGAACATTCAAGTGATAGTTTTTGTTTCTTGTTTATTTGTTACTGCAGTTGTGATATGAGAATTCTCATCCACTGAGTCCAATACTCTCAACATCTGTCTGCTGGAATGTGAATATGCCTATCTGAATCTATCCATTAGCATAGCGGAGCCTCCTATCTGTCTGTCTGTGTAGCAGAGCTTGGTTGTCTATCCGACAAATGGAGCCTACATCCACATTTGCATGTTGACAATCTCATTTGTTTACCGCCATGAGTTTGACCGAGGTGTTAGAAAATAATAAGTTTTGGATTTGGCTCAGCCGTTAGAATTAGGTTTTGTTAGAGATTAGGTTTGATTTATTATAAATAGGATACTTGTTATTTACTTTGGAACAACTTAGTCATGATGTAGCCCTCAATCTGTAGTCATCTTGATAATCTTGTTTATTTGTTTTATGTTAATAAAATAATGTTCATAGTTATATTTTGTTTGTTTCTACACTGCTTTTAAGACAAACTCCAAACACACGAGATAATAAAATGCTCAAGATTGTCTAAAAAATTAAAAGGTGATGCTATCCGCATACCCTTTACCTCTTACACACTGTTAATTTTTATCCTTTGACCTTCTTTACTTTTTCTCATAAGATGATTGAAAATTGAAAGAAGTGTGTGGAAGTTAAAAAGAAGTGTGAATAGCATCCCAAACTAACATTTAGAGAAGTGGAAACTAAACCCCTGAAATAAAATTACTATATAATTCTAGCCATAGTTTTAGGCCTAGCAAGACCATTCCTATGTTCTCCTATGAAACTCAAAGCACAATTTGGTGGCCCACTAAACATGGTTACCTAAATCTTTTTCAGGATCCATCGTGACAAACAATAGTATAATCTAAAACTCTGCATTGAAGCCTTGTAAATGTTCTTGGGACAAGAAAGTTTCCCTCCTTCGAGTTTGAAGGTTGATGGTTTGCATCTTGTAACCTTTGCTGAGAAATTAATCTCACTTAATCCTTTATCATTTAAAAAGAACAAAAAGAAATATGAGTCTTTGATTAGTATGATTGACTGGAAAACTAATTCCAAGTTTTCAACTCATCTATGTTGGAAGTCAAAAGCAAAATGAATACGAATAAGAATAAATGACAATGGTTGAAATTGTTGTACGCAAGCTGCCTTGTTTTACAAGCAGCAGCCAAATATGACTTTTAGGAAGTCTTGTAAAATCTCTATAAGAGAGATGTCCTGGATTGTCTGCCTTTTTATTTTTATATTCTTTTCATGATTTCAAATGATGTGTGGTTACGATTAAGTCACGTCAATATTTTATATTAATTTTTTTATAAAAATAATAAAATAAAAAGTAATAAGAATATAAAATGTTGACATAGCTAACCGTGACCACACAAATAAAAAGACAGGAGTAGAGTATGGAAATGGAAAGACAGACAATTTACCTCCTACCATCAATCAGAGTTAAAAACTTTTGCAGAGCATTTTTTCCCAGGAGCTTGCTGCTTCCTTTTCTTTTGTCTTTCGGTTCATTTACAAAGTGAGTGAAGTGAGAGGTGTGATAAAATTTGTAAACTTACCATCCACGTATTTTGGTATTGAGTTAGTAAATTTTCAATACCAACAATCTACTTCTTCCTAGATGGGAACAAAGGGATAATTTGGTGTGATAAAATTTGAAAATACTCTTGGGACAAGAAAGCTTCCCCTTATTCTTCGAGTTTAAAGGTATATGGTTTGCACCTTGTGACCTTTCATTGACAAATTAATCTCGCTTAATCCTTTATTATTATTAAAAAAATAAAATAAAAACGTTTGATACTTATCATTAGTATGATAAAAACTAATCACAAGTTCCCAACTTATATAGATGGGAACACAGGGATGCTTTGTTCATTCCTAAAGAAGTTACCAGGATCAACTAAGGTCTTCACTTGAACAAGTCTCCTAAAATTATTCTTGAAATACTTTAAGCCCCAAATGCTTGCTTGTCCATAGCTTGTATTACAAGCATTGTTCCTCCCCAAGTCAAGATCCCTATAATTCAAATAGGCACCTCTTGGGGACTTTGAAACATATGGTTCCATGTAGTTATACAGCCTTCTCATCCCGTTAACATGTTTCTCAGTTTCCTTGCCATCATCCCAAGTGACCATATACTGGATCCCGAATATGTTGCCGATTCTGTGTGGGAAAGGAGTTTCCGAATCCGAAATCTCACTCATCTTTCCACCATAAGGTGTCAATATCAAATAAGCTTCTACTTCAATCAGTGTTTGCCATAAACCTTCCAAGCCAGCTTCCGAAATTGGTTTAGTCACATAGTCTGATTTTGCTTTGAAGAAGCTCTTAGATTGTTGTGTTCTCCCAAGCAAAGCTTCCGACTCGTTTATCGACATGCCGGCAAAGTATAGAACAGACTCGATCCAGCTCATTTCAGTGCAGTTGCTGCGGTCTAAACTTAACTCCGGAAAATTGTCTTGCATCAAAGTGAGAAGTTTCTCGACTGGCCCAAGAAACAAGGAACCGAATTCAATATTAATAGTTTTGCCACCATTTGCGCCAGCTTTATTTCCAACACTTATGACTGAATGTAGGAAAATGCCTTCATGAAGCGTATCTGCAATGTTTTGCCATTTCGAAAATAGTTTGGTTGCGCCTTGTTCTATGGTCTGTGAAATTGTGAAAACTGTCACAGATGGAGGAACAGGAACCAACCTAAGTTTCCATTCCAAAATGACTCCAAAGCTTGAGCCTCCCCCTCCTCGAATAGCCCAAAAGAGTTCTTCTCCCATGGATTTTCTGTCGAGAATCCTGCCATTAACGTCAACAATCTTAGCATCAATAACATTGTCAGCTGCTAGACCATATTTTCGGAATATAGTGCCAAATCCACCTCCGCTAATATGTCCCCCCACACCAATAGTTGGACATGTCCCTGCTGGAAATCCATAAATTTTACTCTTTTGTGCAATTGTGTAGTACAACTCTCCGAGAGTAGCACCTGACTCAACCCTGGCACTCTCATTCTCTATGTCAACATCGACAGACCGAAGATTGAAAAGATCGATGATGATGAAAGGAGCTTCGGATACATAAGATAGGCCCTCGTAGTCATGGCCCCCGCTTCGGGTTCTTATTTGTATGCCGTCTTTCTTGGCGCATACCACAGCTGCCTGAACATGAGAGTATCGAGAAGGAGTAATAATAGCATGTGGTTTCGGTGTTGATGTGTTCAAGAATCGGAGATTCTGTATGGAGGATTGCAAGACTAAGGAATAATCCCAAGTGCTTTCGGTGAGGATGATTTTGCTTGTTGAGTTAGAATGTATGCGGGATGAAAAGCAAGGGACAAAGCTTTCCGAAATCGGGTTCGAAGTTGTAGAACAAACCGAGTTTAGAAGGAAGAAAAGTAGTAGGGGAAGTAGTTTTATGTGGGAGATCTCCATCTCTATTTGTTCTACGTATGTGAAATGGTATGAGCTCCAAGCTCACTTATATAGGTAAGATGAGTTGGAAGAATTGAAAAGATATATGCGTAGACTTTTCACAATCGATCGCCTAACAAAAGAGCCTTTTCATAAACGTTTGCCCAACAACAGAGACTTTTCAAGCAAATAATTTAATACGTTTTCAATTCGAATTTTCCATCTATGTGACAATGGAATAGTTACAACAACCACCAAGATTTATTGCACTAAGTGAGGTCGGCTGTATAAATCTTAAAAGGTCATTGTGCTCAATTTTTGTGTCAAGTCTTCGGTTAGCTCAAAGTACTCCATGTATTTTCTTAGTCTCTTTCAAAGTCTTCCTAGGTATTTCTCTATTTCTTTTGCCATGAAATTTTATCTCATAGTCACATCTTATAAAACAACAATTGTGTATTTTGTCATCAATTTCCATTTATTGTAAAGAACTATATATTCGTCGAAAACAATTTCCATTTATTTAAAGAAGGTTATAATTCTTTTATTGAGATACAAGCAAAGTTAGGAACTTGTAAACGTTGGTTGAGGCTGCCTAATATCTATCGTTAGTTGATATATGCTTGAAAGATGAACAAAAAGCCCAACCAATCTATTTAATATTCTACTTTCCCTGATGGGAACACAAGGATACTTGTTCATTTCTAAACAAATTATCAGGATCAACTAAGGCCTTCCCATAAACAAGTCTCTTAAGTCACTCTTAAAATACTTCAAGCCCCAGATGCTTGCTTGTCCATAGCTTGTATTACGAGCATTGTTCTTCCCCAACCCAAGATCCCTATAGTTCAAATATGCAGCTCTTGGGGACTTCGAAACATTTGGCGCCACTCTACACATACACCCTTGTCATCCATCTAATAAGTTCTCAGTTTCTTGGTCATCATCCCAAGTGAGCAAGTACTGGAATCCATATATTCCCGAGTAGCGCCTTACTCTTTTGTGCAATTTTATAACACAACTCTCCGAGAGTAGCACCTAACTCAATCCGTGCAAAGTATGTACTCTCCTTCCCTATGTCAATATGGATGGACTGTAGATTGAAAAGATCAATGATGATGAAAGGAGCTTTAGAAGCAGAAAGGCCCCCGTGGTCATGATGCCCACTTCGGAATCTCATCTCTGTGCCAAGTTTCTTGGAGCAAAAAACTGCTACTTGAACATGAGATTCATGGAGAGGAGAGCGTTAAATTATCCAAGAATCTGCGTTTCTGTATGCAAAATTGCAAGGCAAAGGAATAAGCAGAACTGTTTTTGGTAGTGGAATAAATTGAAGAAATCTATGAGAAGTAAAATTTGAACTTGTGGACCAAACTGAGTTGAAAGAGAAGTAGACCTACTGGAAAGTCGCCTATGGAAAGAGCATACGTGACCAATGTGAGCCTGTTCGGGACTTGTCTAAGATCACCACAATTATTTCCTCTAACGTATCACGTATGACATTTAGAGATCAGCCACATATATATATATATATATATATATATCTGGTTGATGTTCCTACTTTGTACTATGAGTTGAAAGAAAATTGCAGTCATTGGATGAAATTTAAGTGGAAATTGCAGCCATATATATATACATATATATATATATATATATATCTGGAAGTTTCTAAGTGGAAACTTCAAAGTGAAAAATATTCTTGGATGAAATTTAACAAATGGCATAATTTTCTCATGGAGACATCAGCAAATAACTTATCTCTTCTAAAATGGATGCAATGATCAGCTTGTCACCTACTATTAAGTGCCGCATTCTCACAGACCAGGGAACTACTTGCTTGGTTTACATATCTGTCCTAGCTTAACCAGAGAATCAACTACCCGCCCTCGACTCAATTGAGGTTTTAAAAGTGGCACTTCAGATGATGGTTTCCACCTCCAGATTAAAACGACTTCGTATTAGACATGAGTACTGTAGTAGCATAGAAATCATAATTCATGGCCCTATCTCCAAAAATCTATTTTCAACTACACCCTAAACAAGACTTCTTCGTTTCTATTTCTTTCTAGCTACACGCTAGAAAGCCAAACATGCTATATGCATGAGGCATTACCCGAATGCCATCTTACTGAAACTAGGGTTGTTTTTATCTCCCTACAATGCCTTCTTATTCGAGTGATGCTTCTTGTTTATCTTTGTTCCGTTTTACTCCATTTTCACACAATAACGGGGGCCAAACAAATTATAAGTTAAAAGAGGAAGCACGATGGACTTAGTAAGTACAAATGATAAGAATTTATGAAGAATTAAAAATATTTACATACAATGGATCGTAGTCTTGGCTAGTAAAGCATTCCCTCTTACCAACCTCCAACAAGCAAGTATACCAGTAAACTGAGTAGCTTCCCCGTTGGTATGTTGGAATTTGATCCGCCATTCACATCTGTATGTGAACCTGCAATCAGCAACCAAAGTCAGTGCCGTTGGGGAGCTCAGCTTTAGGGGAACAAAATGTATGGGAAGATTATAGTTTGAGTATCTGATCATCCAATCAAACAAGTTATGTTTACATCATGTTTGGGAATGTTATAGGGCAAATGTGCACTGCAACAAACTGTATGTGGATTCTTTGAGCTTAATTATTACATCAACTGCTAATTGGTTGCGGACTTTCATCGAACAGGTTGAGTGCACTCAATAGAGAATGCATTCACAATGACCATTGTTAGGAGGGAATCGCCCTACTGTTTGACAAAACATCCATAATCATAACAGTAAATCAGTAACAGTTCTTATTATTCAAACACACACACTTGTTTTATCTTTTTCACTCTACTTGATTGTGCTCCTGAAATCGAAGGCAACTCAACACAACAATAACAGTAAACACATGTATGTGGTGATATCCCCAAAAAGAGAGGACCAAAATCCAAAAGGGTCATCTCTAAAGGAAAAGACTTACCTACACTTCTTAGCAGGAATATAACTTAATAACAAATTAATATTGCAATTAGTTTGAGATACCGCCGTGTAGGTAAATCTATTTATTTATAAGTGCACAAAGACTAAGAAAATGAAAAATCCTTCGTTGCCAGTACTCACATATTTTTTGTGTCTATATCTCTCGTCAAATAATTTATGTAGACATATCACATGATGATTCTACGAGAAAACGACCGAGTCGCAAGGGACCTTCAATGATTGTACTCCATCTAATAATCCACACCCTTCAAATCTAACCGTGTCACAAGAATCACAGCCACAAAATCAAGACCAACCCACCAACAGAAGCTTCTGTGCAATTACAGTTTTCAATGACAGCTATTTTAACTCGACTTTGACTTAAATGGAATTGTGATAGGAACCTATATTGTGACTTTTTACAATCTTAGACTATAGGAAAGGTTTTCCACAAAATACGAGGTGAAGAATCTGCATCTGGATGGTTTAATCCAATTAGGCATATTGTTCAAATAAAATAAAAGATTAGTCGTAAGCATAATTCTTCAGAATTTGAAAATACTCTTGGGACAAGAAAGTTTCCCCTTATTCTTCGAGTTTAAGGGTATATGCTTTGTGACCTTTCATTGACAAATTAATCTCGCTTAATCCTTTATTATTATTAAAAAAATAAAATAAAAACCTTGATACTTATTATTAGTATGATAAAAACTAATCACAAGTTCCCAACTCAAATAGATGGGAACACAGGAATGCTTTGTTCATTCTTAAAGAAGTTACCAGGATCAACTAAGGTCTTCACATGAACAAGTCTCCTAAAATTATTCTTGAAATACTTCAAGCCCCAAATGCTTGCTTGTCCATAGCTTGTATTACAAGCATTGTTCCTCCCCAAGTCTAGATCCCTATAATTCAAATAGGCACCTCTTGGGGACTTTGAAACATATGGTTCCATGTAGTCATACAGCCTTCTCATCCCGCCAACATGTTTCTCAGTTTCCTTGCCATCATCCCAAGTGACCATATACTGGATTCCGAATATGTTGCCGATTCTGTGTGGGAAAGGAGTTTCCGAATCCGAAATCTCACTCATCTTTCCACCATAAGGTGTCAATATCAAATAAGCTTCCACTTCAATCAGTGTTTGCCACAAACCTTCCAAGCCAGCTTCCGAAATTGGTTTAGTCACATAGTCTGATTTTGCTTTGAAGAAGCTCTTAGATTGTTGTGTTCTCCCAAGCAAAGCTTCCGACTCGTTTATCGACATGCCGGCAAAGTATAGAACAGACTCGATCCAGCTCATTTCAGTGCAGTTGCTGCGGTCTAAACTTAACTCCGGAAAATTGTCTTGCATCAAAGTAAGAAGTTTCTCGACTGGCCCAAGAAACAAGGAACCGAATTCAATATTAATAGTTTTGCCACCATTTGCGCCAGCTTTATTTCCAACACTTATGACTGAATGTAGGAAAATGTCTTCATGAAGCGTATCTGCAATGTTTTGCCATTTCGAAAATAGTTTGGTTGCGCCTTGTTCTATGGTCTGTGAAATTGTGAAAACTGTCACAGATGGAGGAACAGGAACCAACCTAAGTTTCCATTTCAAAATGACTGCAAAGCTTGAGCCTCCCCCTCCTCGAATAGCCCAAAAGAGTTCTTCTCCCATGGATTTTCTGTCGAGAATCCTGCCATTAACGTCAACAATCTTAGCGTCAATAACATTGTCAGCTGCTAGACCATATTTTCGGAATATAGTGCCAAATCCACCTCCGCTAATATGGCCCCCCACACCCATAGTTGCACATGTCCCTGCTGGAAATCCATGAATTTTACTCTTTTGTGCAATTGTGTAGTACAACTCTCCGAGAGTAGCACCTGACTCAACCCAAGCACTCTCATGCTCTATGTCAACGTCGACAGACCGAAGATTGAAAAGATCAATGATGATGAAAGGAGCTTTGGATACATAAGATAGGCCCTCGTAGTCATGGCCCCCACTTCGGGTTCTTATTTGTATGCCCTCCTTCTTGGCACATGCCACAGCTGCTTGAACATGAGAGTATTGAGAAGGAGTAATGATAGCCTGTGGTTTCGATGTTGATGTGTTCAAGAATCGGAGATTCTGTATGGAAGATTGCAAGACTGAGGAATAATCCGAAGTGCTTTCAGGGAGGATGATTTTGCTTGTTGAGTTAGAATGTAAGCGGGATGAAAAGCAAGGGACAAAGCTTTCCGAAATCGGGTTCGAAGTTGTAGAACAAACTGAGTTTAGAAGGAAGAAAAGTAGTAGGGGAAGTAGTTTCATGTGTGAGATCTCCATCTTTATTTGTTTTACATATGTGAAATGGTATGAGTCACTTATAAAGGTAAGATGAGTTGGAAGAATTGAATGGTTATCGATTGCCTAACAAAAGAGCCCCTTCATACACGTTTGCCTAACAAAAGAGACTTTTCGAATTTTAATACAATATTTGTACATGAATCTAATGCAAATAATTTAATACGTTTTCAATTCGAATTTTTTGTCTACGCAAGAACTACCAAGATTTACTGTACTAAGTGGAGTCGGCTGTATATATCCTAAAACACTGTTGCGCTCGGTGTTTGTCCTAAGTCTTCCGCTAGCTCCAAGTATGCTATTTTTTTTAGGAAATTTTATTTGAACTCATATTTTATATCTCAATGCTCTGCTTACTTTTTATATTCACATTGTATTTGATTTATATATCATTATCTATTTACACCCAACATTATTTCCAAAACCGTCCTTGCTTATCAAAACTCAACTCAATCAAACTTCTTTTTACATCCAACTCAATCTACTTAAAAATAAAAAATAAAATCCTAACCAGTCCATCATCTCCATGGAGCAAATCCCCTTCTCTCTATCTTTAAAAAATCCTTCCATCTCCCATGGTTGTCATTCTGCACCCCCATCTACTCCTCCGTAGTCATCTAAACATCTTCCTCTTCCTTTTCTTCATCATTTGACATCTCTAAATTTCTAGAGCACTAATTAGCTTAATAATCGATATGAGTTTCTGGTTAGAGTGTTTAATGAATTTGGTATGTTTCAATTAAATGAGAATCTTCTAGCCTATATATTCCTATTTATGGTAGAAAAATGGATACGTCCATGATAACTTTTGGTAGATCAATGAATATTTTTAGCCGTGATTATTTATTAGATACAAAAGTTGCAAACAACAATTCACATTACATTGAACTGTGGCTAAAAGGTATATCGCCTTTGCACGTTTTATAGGCAAACTCATAGCTAAGTAGTTTTTATTGTGGAGAAAAACTTCAGGGATTGATCTAACCTAAATATGTAATTGAGTTTATGCATTTTAATGATTAAACTGATAAATATTTCGACCATATATGGATTTAATATCGTAGTATCTTTTAGCCTCTATATGCCACAAAAGTTGCAGACAAAAATTCACAATACATAGAACTGTGGTTAAAAAGTATATCGCCTTTGCACGTTTTATAGATGAACTCATAGGTAAGCGGTTTTATTGTTGACCAAAACCTCGGGAATTGATCTAACTTGAATGTATAATTGAGTTTATGCATTTTAATGATTAAATTCATAAATATCTCAACCACATATGAATTTAATATCGTATTGTCTTGTAGCCTCTATATTGGTATCTGTGGCAAAAAAAATGGGTATCTCCATGAGAAAATTTTGTAGATCGATGAATATTTTCAATCTGGATGTTTATTAGATACCCGAAATTATAAGTCTATTCGCGAAAGTCTAGGTCAATGCCATGTACAATATTTGTTAAGACGTTTAGGGAACTGTTATTAGCACTTCAAAATTTTCATTCTACAATCCTCACAAGTGTATTTTTCTTTCTAATTATAGAAAGTTTGGCGTGCCAAATGAGATTTTTGGAGTGCTAATAACAATTTTCTATATTTATATACATTTTATTTTAGTTTGGAAGTCGACTTCCTTTTTCTTTTTTTTTTTCTTTATCAAGATGGGAGTATCACTGATTGTAACCCTGTGCAACTAGTTGTTGATTCGTTTTGAATAATCAACATTATTTCTTACAATGTCTTGGGCATATGAATAACATAAAGAAAACGGCCATGATACAAGTTGAATAGTAGTAATACTAATTAGTAAAAACTTGTGCATGATGTTTGCTTATAACCAAGTGGCATGAAGGGACAAATGTGTATGTTTCATGCATGACTTGGAATAGTATTAGTCATCGGGAGATTTTGCATCAATTTGTTTTTGTTTTTAATATGTATATATTAAGTTCTATTTTAATGGGATTGCTCACCACCCCTAAGTTGTGATAATGCCTTTATTTATCGTTGTTATGTGAGTTTAATTAAATTTTGAGATTGTGTTTATCCACTACATACATTTTGATATTTTTTTTTGTTTTTTTTTTTTTTGAGTCGAGCGATAACATTAGTAAGTTAGATGTTAGATTAGTCACTGATAGAATTCGAATCCATGCCGTCATGCAAGAGCACAACATTTTTTCACTACTGTGGTAAAGGGCCACTTATCAACAAGTTGATTGGCCCGTGTGACTTTACTAATACTATTCCAAGTCATGCATGAAACATATACATTTGTCGCTTCTTGCCACTTGGTTATAAGAAGACATCATGCATAAATTGTTTACTAATTAGTACTATTATTCAGCTTGTATTGTCACATCCCAGCCCGGGCCCCCACCACAACCCGGGCCCGATCCACCACCGTAGCACGATATTGTCCGCTTTGGGCCCCGACCACGCCCTCACGGTTTTGTTTTTGGGAACTCACGAGCAACTTCCCAGTGGGTCACCCATCATGGGATTGCTCTAGCCCTCTTCTCGCTTAACTTCGGAGTTCCTACGGAACCCGAAGCCAGTGAGCTCCCAAAAGGCCTCGTGCTAGGTAAGGATGGGAATATACATTTAAGGATCACCCCTGGGCGATGTGGGATGTCACATGTATCATGACCCTTTTTTTTTTTTGTTATTCATATGCCCAAAACATTGTAAGAAAGACAAAGGTGTATGTTTCATGCATGACTTGGAATAGTATTAGTCGTCGGGACATTTTGCATCAATTTGTTTTTGTTTTTAATATGTACATTAAAAACAAAAACAAATTGATGCAAAATCTCCCGACGACTAATACTATTCCAGGTCATGCATGAAACATACACATTAAGTTCTATTTTAATGGGATTGCTCACCACACCTAAGTTGTGATAATGCCTTTGTTTATCGTTGTTATGTGAGTTTAATTAAATTTTGAGATTGTGTTTATCCACTACATACATTTCCATTTTTATTTTTTTTTAGTCGAGCGATAGCATTAGTAAGTTAGCTGTTAGTTTAATCACCTATAGAATTCGAACCCACGTCGTCATGCAAAAGCACAACACTTTTTAACCAATGTGGTAAAGGGCCACTTGTCAACAAGTTGATTGGCCTAATACTATTCCAAGTCATGCATGAAACATACACATTTGTCCCTTCATGCCACTTGGTTATAAGCAAACGTCATGCACAAGTTGTTTACTAATTAGTACTACTCTTATTCAGCTTGTATCATGACTGTTTTCTTTCTGTTATTCATATGCCCAAGACATTGTAAGAACTAATGTTGATTATTCAAAACGAATCAACAACTAGTTGCACAAGGTCACAATCAGTGATACTCCCGACTTGATAAAGAAAGAAAAAAAAAAGGAAGTCGACTTCCAAACTAAAATAAAATGTATATAAATATAGAAAATTGTTATTAGCACTCCAAAAATCTCATTTATCACTCCAAACTTTCTATAATTAGAAAGAAAAATACACTTGTGCAAAGTGTAGAATGAGATTTTGGAGCACTAATAACAGTTCCCTAAATATATCTTAACAAATATTGTATGTGGCATTGACTTAAACTTTCGCCAATAGACTTATAATTTCTGGTATCTAATAAATATTCAAATTGAAAATATTCATCGATCTACAAAGAAAATTTTCTCATGGAGGTACCCATTTTTTTGCCACAGATACCAATATAGAGGCTAAAAGACGCTACAATATTAAATTCATATGTTATCAAGATATTTATGAATTTACTCATTAAAATGCATAAGCTCAATTATACATTCAAGTTAGATCAATTCCCGAAGTTTTGGTCAACAATAAAAACTACTTACCTATGAGTTCACCTATAAAACGTGCAAATATGATATACTTTTTTTAACCACAATTCTATGTATTGTGAATTTTTGTTCGCAACTTTTGTGGCATATAGAGGCTAAAAGATACTACAATGTTAAATCCATATGTGATCGAAATATTTATTAGTTTAATCATTAAAATGCATAAACTCATTTTTGTATCCAGGTTAGATTAATTCCCAAAGTTTTGCTCCACAATAAAAACTGCTTACCTATGAGTTTGCCTTTAAAATGTGCAAAGGCGATACACTTTTTAGCCACAGTTCAATGTAATGTGAATTGTTGTCCACAACTTTTGTATCTAATAAATATCCACGGTTTCAACAAAAAAATAAAAATAAATAAATATCCACGGTTAAAAATATTCATTGATCTACCAAAAGTTATCATGGACGTACCCATTTTTCTACCACATATAGAAATATAGAGTCTAGAAGATTCTCATTTAATTGAAACATACCAAACTCATTAAACACTCTAACCAGAAGCTCATTTAATTGAAAAGAAAAAGGAATCAATACGTAAAAATTGAACCAGTCAATTGAACACATACCAATTATTAAGCTAATTAGTGCTTTAGAAATTTAGAGATGTCAACTGATGAAGAAAAGTAAGAGGAAGAGGTTTGGATGACTATGGAGGAGTAGATGGGGGTGCAGAATGACAACCATGGGAGATGGAAGGATTTTTTAAAGAGAGAGAAGGGGCTTTGCTCAATGGAGATGATGGACTGGTTAGGGTTTTATTTTTTATTTTTAAGTAGATTGAGTTGGGTGTAATAAGAAGTTTGATTGAGTTGAGTTTTGATAAGTAATTGTGATAGCCCGTCCCAGACTTTTCGTACCGTATGGTGAAATGACGATTTTACCCCTAGTATGGTTGCTTCGTTGTGTGGTCGTTTTTGGGTTTTGATTGGTTGATTTTGGACCACACACATACCCACACTTATTTCTCTCTCTCTCTGCCCTGTCCCGAGACCCCTTCTTTCTCTCCCTTTCCTATCTTCTTCGTACGAACAACACCCAAAACCCTTGGAATCGTCACAAATCGAGGAAACAAACTACATATTTGTGCTCGTGAGGTTCTTAGGAGTTCAACCATACCCATTTCAGGTAAGGGAACCTTCATTTTCACGTCGAACCCGAGAGGTGTAAATCGGGGTACTGTTCATGCACACGTTAATTCTTATGTTTTTGGGAATTTCAAGCTTGTAGGAAGCTTGGTGAGGTCCTTAGGAGGCTCGGGGTGGTTCGTTTGAAGGTTTTGGACGTCGGGATCGTGAGTTGTAGGTTTGGCCGGAGTTGGTGGTATTTTCCCGGCGAGATTTCGATGGTTTTAGTGCTTGAAGGTGGTATGGATTTGTTCTTCTTGTTGTAAGCTTCATTTTGGTACCAATTTTGTGAAATTTGGATGAAAAACGAGTGAGATATCAAGTTTTGAAATTTTACTGATTTTTCGGCGCCTATGGTTGACCGGAGAAGATGATGGAATATTCCGTCATTTTGGACGGAATATTCCTAATGGCGTTAACAGAATGAGTTAGACTTAACGGAATATTCCTGACGGCGTTAACTGACGTCGTCAGTGTGCCTGCGCGTGAGCGACGCGTGTGGCCGTGCCTTGGCGGACGCATGGGGGTGCGTGCGGTGTCAGAAAATTATTTTAAAATTATGGAGATGTTCGTGAGGTTGAGTAGATCACGTTGGTGTATTCATGCACCCCATTTGAGCATTGTATGAGAAGTTATTTCGTAATGTTGGTTATATGCTTTAAAATTTACGTTTTTATAGTTGTTTCGCATACAGGTGAGACCTATCAAGAGGATGAGCGCGGTCACTCGAGGCAAGGGGGTTACGACCCTTCTACATACCAGTAAGTGGGCTTTTAGTTTTCCGTATATACCTATATACTTGTGTTTTTCCCAGAAAGTGAAATGAAACGTTTACATGTTTTATATGCCATGCATTATGTTTGCCCGTTTAATTATGCATTATTAGTTGCATATATATATATATATATGTTTGGTGCTGCGGACGCACAGGTAAGTGCCAGGTAAGTTATGGTTTATGTTTATGTTTAGTAGTGATTTGAGATGCATAAAGAGCTCATAACCTGCATCCTTAGTGTTAGTGCTCCTGCCCAGAGTTGGGCACAGTCTTTCACATGATGTTCACCTCCCGCACCACACGCTCATCTTGGATCCAAATTAGGTGCACAGTCCTGTTGTACATACCACTTTAGGTGGTTCTGACTCGTAGGTGGCCCGTAATCATTCGCCCAGTCTTCACGTGATCGTAGCACTTGAGCATACTTATTATACACCCAATCCTGTCGTACAGACCACTTTAGGTGGTTCCGACTTGTATGCAGGTGTAGTTAGTGAGTTGGAGATTTGAGCTCTAGATTCAGCCGTACAGGTCACGTTAGGTGACTCCGGTTGACAGATTATATGGCATCGATTGGCATTACCTAGTACATGCATCTTATTTAGAGGCATTTGTCATGGCATATTTCTGAGCATGATTTATATATATATGTATATATTATATTTTCTGGAAGTATACAGGTTTTACGGCAAGGGGTTAGAACTTTATTTATGAAATGATTTTTGAAAAGCTTTGTTTTTACCCACTCACGCTTTCTGTTTTGCACCCCTCCAGGTTCTAGTTGGCTAGCACTTTTGGTGGCTCCCCAGAGGATTTTCTCGACTTATCTGACAGATTATCACCAGTGTAAGACCACATTTGTGTGCGTTTATTTAGTGTTGTTTCTCCTGGACTGCAATAGGTCTTTCGTGCTCTGAACTTTGTTCTTTCACACTTATGCTTGCACATGTATATTATTTACTTTGTGTATAGCCAGGTTTGTTTTTATTCGTACTTTTATTATTATTTCTTAGCTTCCGCACTATACACATGGTTACGTCACTTCCACGTGACGGCCAACATGCCCTGATCTCAGTCGGGGTGTGTCGTAATGGTGGTTTCGGAAATAACGTTGGGTGTAAGGAGATAATGATAGATAAATCAAATACAATGTGGGTATAAAAAATAAGATGCGTATTGAGATACAAAATATGGGTTCAAATAAAATTTCTTTTTTTTTTTTTTTCTTTTCTTATAATCTCCTTCAAAGTCTTCCTATGTCTTCATCTATTTCTTTCGCCTGGAACCTTGTCCCGCAGTCGCATCTTATAAAAAAATAATTTTGTATTTTGACATCAATTTCCATTTATTGTAAAGAAGTATATATTCGTCGAAAACAATTTCCATTTATTTAAAGAAGGTTATGATTCTTTTATTGAGATACAAGCAGAGTTAGGAACTTGTTAACATTGGTTGAGGCTACCTAATATCTATCGTTCGTTGACACTAGTTAGTAATGTCCGTGCATTGCTCCGGGATTACAAATTGTACGAATAATTATGTATCATTCTCTTCTAACAGTTTCTCTAATTATGAGTTTTATTAAACAAGAAATAAGATTACTTTCTTGTCACAGAATTAGCATTTTCAATGCATCAAAGCAAGTGGTAATTATTAAAATGAATATGTTAACATATAGCATAAAATCTAATAACTTGAATAATAGTATTTTAATTGATATCAACATTCAGAAACACAATTGTAAATATAACGTTGGGTGATTTAATGGTTACAAACCATGTAAATCACCTAGACATAGATAAATAAAAAGTAGATGAAAATTAAAGATTGACTTGAGCTTGGAGTTCACAAAATGCTTTTAAAAGTAGTAAATATTCTGTTGGATTAAGTTCCTTGTAATGAGATACACTTCTCTGCATGAATAAAATTCTAACTTGCAACCACCTGTAATTTATAATTAAGCTAAGTAAATACATAGTAAGCACTGCACAATCACAGTAATAACAATTTTCAAATAACATTATATCTATCAATTACTCTGCACAGGAATTTCAAAAATGGATAACCAAGCTGTAATTTAAGATCTTTGAAATTGCAATTTTATAAGTCATTAAACCCATATTACAAATTATTTAGTCAATCTCATTACCCTCCTTATTACACATCAAAAGTTGAAAAAAACAAATATAGTTTCTTTGAGATTTGTAAGTGAAAGTACCTCATTGAAAGCCTTCTAGAAGCACTGCAACACCTTTTGGAACATTTGCCTCATTCTGGTCCAGAGTGCAAAATGCACAAGCACTTTGCATTTCCCAACACCACATAGCATCATATTTCCTATTATTAATCCACAATGCCTCCTCCAACTTTGAAATATCTGCTGGGCAAACAAACACAAATCCATATTTATAAATTCAAACTCCCAAATATCTAAATGGAAGAAGTCCCAAATTTATATTTTCAACTACCAGATAAAACATGGAGAATTCCTACGTCTAAAATAATTAATAATAATAAATAAAAAAAAGATATTTCCAGAAAATTCAAAGTTAGCACCTTGAGTTAGCTTCTTTAATTCCAAAACTGAGACAAATTGCTCTCCGCTTCTTCTCATAATACACACATTCAGTTTCTTTTTTTTTTTTATCAAGTAAAGCATAGTCAACATCTTTTACTGTCGATTAGATTGCGTCTCCCTACATGATTGAAAAAACAACTGAATCACAATTAACATGTATTAACAATGAAAAAGCAATTTAGTGCCAAACTTTAAAAACAACCTGTAAAATCCAAAGCAAGCATTAAAGAAAGTTAATAGTGTAGGACATAAATGTTTGCCCAAATATAAAAGGAAAGATGTTTCCTAGCTATACTTCAGAGTATTTCAAAAAAAAAAAAGGAATGATGTTTCCTAACTTTATTTTAAGCAAGCTCACATATACAGAACATCAATTCTATCATACACATAAGTCAAACAAAAGCATCAAAGCCAATAATAACACTGAACTGAAAACCCATTAACCAATTTATTAACATATTTTTTTGTAGATCACTACCTCTGTATTCTTAATTTATTAAATTGATTAAAATTACTAATTCTCTTATTTCTGACAATACCCCTCCTACTTCAGAATGATAAACAAAAAATTTCTCAATTTCTTATATCTCACAAAGAAAAGTACATGCATGTCCATTTCAGATCTTAAAACCGAAAGAAAATATCAAGATTTCGTAGTTTCTTACCCAAATCCACGAATTTGAACAGTTTTGTATCAAATTGTTCATTGTCACTAGTTATACTAAAATATCAAGGTTTTTTGTTATTAATATCGATAAAACTCAATTGAGACCTCTCGAATCATTCATTGTGCATATTGATTTCATTTTAATATTGAACCTTCTAAAAGTCTAAAAGCTCATCAAAGCGTATTTCTGAAAAAATAGATATTCCAAAGCGACACATAATTTCACATGATACAACCAAAAAGGGTAAAAATACAGCAATGAAACGGCTTTTCATTCCCAATGGCCAATTATATAGGATTCAAGCCATACATGGGAATCAAGAGGATTGAAGCTGTCAGGCATAACACATGGTTACTGATTGATGGAAATGGCCAAGATATTAGATAAGAAGAAAGTCTGCTCGCTTTCTGAAAGTGACTTTCTGCGGTAAAACTGAACGAGCTTAAGGAACAATATTTCATAAGCAAGAAAGTCATTAACTTTGGAAAGATTGATCCCTCTTGAAGATACAGCCGATCATTCGTGTACTCATCAAATTCAGCCATCATTACAATCATGAACCACACCTTTCCTAAGATCTCCCTTGCATTTCCAAACGGTTAAAAAATGTATAACTTTACTTGTCATGAAGGGCCAATGAGATTACAATGATTATACTACAACTGATAAGCAAACCTGATATACTACAACTGATGCATACAATCCAATTAAAATGTTCATAAAAACTGCCAACACGATACTTGAAACTGTTAGTTTTTGGCTCGTCAATTTGTGTCCTTTTCTGTTTAGGATTGTTTTAGGGAAAGGGTGCACCAATTCTTCTTCTAAAAGGGCTAGGAAAGAATCTTAGTTTCCTGATTCAATTTAGATTAGAAATCCTAGAAGTCTATTTGGAATTGGAAAGGAAGTCTAATTTCCTATTCCACTTAGAATAGGTATTATAATCTGTAAAGGACATGTAAGCCAACCCTATATCTATAAATAGGGTGCGGCAAGGCTGTTTTTCAGCACAGAGAAAACAGCCAAACAGCAGAGAGTTTTGAGATTAGTTCTAGGGTTTGCATAAGTTCTGTAATCTCTATTATTAATCAAAGAAGCGGTGATTTCTCTACCTAGGGAAATCACAACTGGACGTAGGCATAAGTTCTGCCGAACCAGTATAAGTCTTGTGTGTTTCCAAGTTTTCTATATTTGCTAGTTTAGTCTATTACCGTTGGTTACATCAAAGAACAAGGTCTAGTGTGCGGGTTTTTTTCAACAATTGGTATCAAGAGCTAGGATCAAGGTGTTCTACGATGTTAAAAGGGAAGATGAATGCGGATCAAGGACCTGCGTTAAAACCCTTTGACGGCAAGGATGACTTCACGGACTGGCAAAGGATGATGAAGAACGTACTGATACAGCAGGATTTGGATGATGCACTTGATGGTAAGAAGCCGGAAAGCATGACAGAAGCAGCATGGAATAAGGTTCTCAAGAAGGCCAAGAGTTCCATCGAGATCCATCTCACAAGATCAGTTCGGTCACACATCACCAAAAAGATGTCTGCCCAGGAAGCATGGGAAAAATTGGAGAATGTTTATATGGGAAAAACCGTGTCCAATAAACTTTTTCTAAAGGATGAACTATTCGGGCTTCGACTAGAAGAAGGAGGTGATATTGAAGATCACGTATGCAGGTTCCAGAATTGCATAGCTAATCTTCAGAAAGTCGAAGAAACTTACAAAGATGATGATATGGCTATCATCCTGCTAAGGTCTCTACCTTCGTCTTTCAAGCACTTTCGAACAACTCTAATGTTTGGAAAAGAGTCCTTGAAGCTTGAAGACGTAATTCAAGCTCTTCAGTCATATGCTAAACTAGATGATATAACTGAAAGCTCTCAAGGCCTTTATGCCAAAGGCAAGGAGAGGGGGCGGGAAAAGACAAGGGAAGAGAAAACTGGCAACAGAGGTAGGTCAAAATCCAAGAAGAAAAAGGAAAAGAAGGAAGGTTGCTTCGAATGTGGTTCAGCCGATCATTGGAAGAGGAACTGCAAGATTTGGAAAGAAAAGAAAGCCAAGATGGAAGGAAGCTCAGGTTCCGCTAGTGCAGTCACCGAACATGAGAGTGACGGGGAACTTCTTTCGGTAACATCGGACTCCAAGGCTTTCAATTGGATTTTGGATACTGGATGCACGTTTCATATGTGTGCAGTAAAAGAATGGTTCGATACTTACAAAGAAGTCAGCAGCGGGGAAGTCTTAATGGGGGATGATTCTTCATGTCCTGTAAGAGGAATCGGCACTGTTCGAATCAGAATGTTCGATGGGATGATACGAGCTTTGGGGAACGTCAGGTATGTCCCTAGACTAAGAAAGAATTTGATTTCCTTGGGTACTTTAGATGAGGCCGGTTATGGGTACAAGTCTAAAAAAGGAAGACTCAGGGTAACCAAAGGATCGCTAGTGGTAATGCGGGGTGACCTACAACCCAATAAGTTGTATAAGTTAATTGGGACCACAATAGTCGGGGGAGCAGCTGTTTCTGTAAATCAAAGTATAGAAGACAAGACTGAACTATGGCATCATAGGCTCGGGCACATAAGCCAGAAGGGATTGCAAGAATTACACAAGCAAGGCCTGTTGGAAGGCGTGTCAGCTTGCAAACTGGACTTTTGTGAATACTGTGTTCTTGGGAAGCAAAGAAAGGTATCATTCGCAAGTAGCAGTGCAGATAGCCGAAGTAAGGAGCGACTCAGCTATATTCACTCAGATGTTTGGGGTCCTGCTCCAACTAAATCAAATGGTGGAGCCAGGTATTTTGTTACTTTCATGGATGATTTTTCTAGGAAGGTTTGGATTTATTTCATGAAGCAGAAATCCGAGGTTTTTGCAAAGTTCAAGGAATGGAAAACAGAAACCGAGAATCAAACTGGAAGAAAGATCAAGTATCTGAGAAGTGACAATGGAGGTGAATATACAAGTAAGGAGTTCACCGATTACTGCAAGCAGGAAGGCATCATAAGGCACTTCACAGTAAAGAAGAATCCCCAACAAAATGGAGCTGCTGAGAGGATGAACCGAACTCTCATGGAAAGAGAAAGGAGCATGCGATTTCATGCAGGATTGCCTGATAGTTTTTGGGCAGAGGCTGTTAATCATGCAAGTTATTTGATTAACAGATCACCATCTACAGTTCTCGGTTTTAAGAGTGCAGAAGAGGTATGGTCTGAGAAGCCGGTGGATTATTCCAAGCTCAGGGTGTTCGGCTGTAGTGCTTATGCACATATTCCAAGTGATGAAAGGTCCAAGCTAAAACCGAAGTCTATACTTTGCATATTCCTAGGTTTTGAGAAAGGAGTGAAGGGTTTCAAGCTTTGGGATTTCAACAACAGGAAAAAGGTTGTCAGTCGAGATGTTGTCTTTGATGAGACAACCATGCCTCTGAATAAAGTCGAGAGCAGTAGGGAGAAGAAGGATGATGCTGAAATTGAAGCAACAAAGATTCCGCTAATCAGTTCAGATGAAGAAGAAGCTCAGGTGGAGCAAATTGAGCAAGAAGCCGAATCTGATGGTTTTGAGGAAGAAGAAGAGCATCAGCATCATTCACCAGTTAGGAATCAGGTGGAGCAAGAAACAGGACAGATTGAAGGTACTCCAATCCGCCAGATATCCCAAAGGAGTCAAACTCCACCCAACAATCCACCTGCATTCCAAAGATGCATAGCACTGGACAAACCTAAGTGGAACAAGAAGAAACTTGACAGGTTTGGGTTTGACCAAAACGAAGTTAATTATGCTCTTAACATTAGTCAAGGAGATCCGACTACTTATCGAGAAGCTATAGCGAGTGATGAGCGAGATAGTTGGATAAGTGCTATGACAGAGGAAATGGAGTCTCTTTACAAGAACTCTGTTTGGGAGTTGGTTCCTAAACCCAAAGACAAAAAGCTAGTTGGATGCAAGTGGGTATTTAGGAAAAAGGAAGGACTACATGAACAAGATGCCGTGAGATTCAAAGCAAGGCTCGTGGCTAAGGGGTACTCGCAAAAGGAAGGGGTGGATTATGATGAGATCTTTTCACCTGTAGTCAAGCATACTTCTATCCGATTGCTTTTAGCAATGGCAGCTCAGCATGACATGGAGATTGAGCAGATGGATGTGAAGACAGCGTTTCTTCATGGGGATTTAGAGGAGACAATATTCATGGCTCAACCAGAACGGTTTGTTGAATATGGGAAAGAAAACCTAGTATGTCAACTAAGGAAGTCCCTGTATGGCCTGAAATAGTCTCCAAGACAGTGGTACAAGAGGTTTGATTCATTCATGCTGAAAATTAATTTTAGAAGGTGTTTGTATGACTGTTGTGTGTACTATCATGTGTTCCAAGATGGGATGATCATATTGCTATTGCTATATGTGGATGACATGTTAATTGCTTGTCAAGACAAGTCTAGAATTCAAGACTTGAAAAGGATGTTGAGCGAGGAGTTCGACATGAAGGATCTAGGTGCCGCACAGAAGATCCTTGGCATGGAAATTCAGAGAGATAGGACCGCCGGAAGGATTTGGATATCACAAGCCAAGTATATTCAGAAGGTTCTTGAGAAGTTCAACATGCAAGAAGCAAAGGTAGTTTCGACTCCTTTGGCAGCTCACTTCAGGTTAAGTGGACAACAGTGTCCTACGTCCGAGGAAGAGCAACAAGAAATGAAGAAGGTGCCTTATGCTAATGCCGTGGGCTGCCTCATGTATGCAATAGTATGCACACGTCCTGACATAGCTCAAGCAATCAGTGTCGTTTCCAGATACATGGCAAATCCAGGAAAGCAACATTGGGATGTAGTCAAGTGGATTTTGCGTTATTTGAAGGGTTCTTGGCGACAAAGGATTATGTTTGAGAAGCAAAAGGAAAATGCAGGGGTGTTAGGATATGAGGATGCCGATTATGCAGGGGACTTGGACAAGAGAAGGTCAACTTCTGGTTATGTGTTTACATGCGCAGGGGGACCAATCAGTTGGAGGGCACTACTACAACCAATTATAGCTTTATCGACCACAGAGGCAGAGTATATTGCATTGGCCGAAGCTGGAAAGGAAGCAATTTGGCTTAGTGGCTTGGTAAGTCAAATGGGAATCACTCAAGATTGTGTGAAGCTTAAGTGTGATAGTCAAAGTGCCATTCACTTGGCAAAGAATCAGATTTTTTCTGGAAGATCAAAGCACATTGAAGCAAGGTATCACAGAATCAGAGATTGGGTGGAGTCTAAGGAAATTTAGATTGAAAAGGTTCATACGGATGGCAATGCCGCAGATTTCCTTACAAAGATAGTGCCGGCCAAGAAGTTCAAGCATTGTTTGAACTTGATCAATCTCGTTGATTGATTAAAGTGGAGCACCTCCTCACCTGAGGTGCAATGAGGCAAGAAGGAGGTTGCCAAGGTGAAGACTCTTGAAGTTTTCCAGAGCTACTTCAAGAAGGTTCAAAGATACTCTGGGGTGCAAACGATCAAGACTTGGTTTGACTCACCAAGGTGGAGATTGTTAGTTTTTGGCTCGTCAGTTTGTGTCCTTTTCTGTTTAGGATTGTTTTAGGGAAAGGGTGCACCAATTCTTCTCCTAAAAGGGCTAGGAAAGAATCTTAGTTTCCTGATTCAATTTAGATTAGAAATCCTAGAAGTCTATTTGGAATTGGAAAGGAAGTCTAATTTCCTATTCCACTTAGAATAGGTATTATAATCTGTAAAGGACATGTAAGCCAACCCTATATCTATAAATAGGGTGCGGCAAGGCTGTTTTTCAGCACAGAGAAAACAGCCAAACAGCAGAGAGTTTTGAGATTAGTTCTAGGGTTTGCATAAGTTCTGTAATCTCTATTATTAATCAAAGAAGCGGTGATTTCTCTACCTAGGGAAATCACAACTAGACGTAGGCATAAGTTCTGCCAAACCAGTATAAGTCTTGTGTGTTTCCAAGTTTTCTATATTTGCTAGTTTAGTCTATTACCATTGGTTACATCAAAGAACAAGGTCTAGTGTGCGGGTTTTTTTCAACAGAAACAATCACAATTACCCACATAGTGATTGTCAAACCAGCAATAAGGATGCAAGCTATTTCAAGAAATGGACCTTCTCGAGTAATCAGATCATGAATCAGTCGATACCAGCCTTTAAGCAGCATATAGGGGCTCTTTACAACAGCAATTACAGTGTAAACAGAATCTCCACGATCAGCCCCAACACGCCAACTATATTACATCCCAGAATGTGAATCAACTTACAATATGTCCCCGAAAAGAATTGAGTTCGGATTAAAACCACTCTTTTAAGCAATGTTATTTCAAATGTTTATATTTGGCCACTGCTACATAATTTGACGACAGAAGCAAAACATTGAGTCACTAATTACAACACAATTACTCTATGGTTCGATTCAAATGTTTATACCCGGCAAAATCAATCACGAATGACTGTTCGTATGTATCTAAGATCACCAATTAGGCAGAATCACTCAGGACTAACAATATAGGCACCCAAGCATCCCATGACACACTGACTGACTAACCTGCACAGATATCCCAATAAACCTACAGATTAGTAGAAATAACAGAAGAGTGTTTGATGTTGAATGTCCTGAAACAGTCTCCAAGACAGTGGTACAAGAGGTTTGATTCATTAATGCTGAAAATCAATTTTAGAAGGTGTTTATATGACTGTTGCGTGTACTATCATGCGTACTAAGATGGGATGATCATATTGCTATTGCTATATGTGGATGACATGCTAATTGCTTGTCAAGACAAGTCTAGAATTCAAGACTGGAAAAAGATGTTGAGCAAGGAGTTCGATATGAAGGATCTAGGTGCTGCACAGAAGATCCTTGGCATGGAAATTCAAAGATATGGGACTGCTAGAAGGATTTAGATATCACAAGCCAAGTATATTCAGAAGGTTCTTCAGAAGTTCAACATGCAAGAAGCAAAGGTAGTTTCGACTCCTTTGGCGGCTCAATTCAGGTTAAGCGGGCAGCAGTGTCCTATGTCAGAGGAAGAGCAACAAGTAATGAAGAAGATGCCTTATGCTAATGTCGTGGGCTGCCTCATGTATGCAATGGTATGCACACGTCCCGACATAGCTCAAGCAATCAGTGTCGTTTCCAAATACATGGCAAATCCAGGAAATCAACATTAGGATGCAATCAAGTGGATTTTGCGTTATTTTAAGGGTTCTTGGCGACAAAAGGATTATGTTTGAGAGTCAAAAAGAAAATGTAGGGGTGTTTGGATATGTGGATGCCGATTATGCAGGGAACTTGGACAAAGATAGGGTCAACTTCTGGTTATGTGTTTACATGCGCAGGAGGACCAATCAATTGGAGGGCACTACTGCAACCAATTACAGCTTTGTCGACCCGAGGCAGAGTATATTGCATTGGCCGAAGCTGGAAAGTAAGCAATTTGGCTTAGTGGCTTGGTAAGTCAAATGGGAGTCACTCAAGATTGTGTGCAGCTGAAGTGTGATAGTCAAAGTGCCATTCACTTGGCAAAGAATCGAGTTTTTTTTCTGGAAGATCAAAATATATTGAAGCAAGGTATCACAGAATTAGAGATTGGGTGGAGTCTAAGGAGATTTGGATTGAAAAGATTCATATGGATGACAATGTTGCAGATTTCCTTACAAAGATAGTGCCTGCCAAGAAATTCAAGCATTGCTTGCACTTGATCAATCTCGTTGATTGATCAAATTGAAGCACCTCCTCACTTGAGGTGCAATGAAGCAAGGAGAAGATTGCCAAGGTGAAGAATCTTGAAGATTCCAGAGATGCTTCAAGAAAGTTCAAGGATACTCTGGGGTGCAACGATCAAGACTTGGTTTCACTCACCAAGGTGGAGATTGTTAGGTATTTTGGTTCGTCAAATATGTCCTAGTCGGTTTGGGCTTGTTTTAGGAAAATTAGAGGTATACCGATTCTTGTCCTAGAGGGATTAGGAAAGAATTTCAGTTTTCCTTATTCAATTTCGGTTTGGATTTCTAGAAGTCTATTTGGATTTGGACAAGTGTAATTTCCGACTACACTTAGAAATAGGAATTCAATCAGCCTTGGGACATGTAAGCCGACCCTATGCCTATAAATAGGGTGCGGCAAGGCTTAATTTTTAGAGAGAAAAACAGCCAGAGACAGCCGAGAGTTTTGAGATTAGTTCAAGGGTTTGCAAAAGTTCTATAATCTCTATTATTAATCAAACGAGCAGTGATTTCTCTAGGTAGAGAAATCACAACTGAACGTAGGCAAAAGTTCTGCCGAACCAGTATAATTCTTGTGTGTTTCTAAGTTTTCTATATTTGCTAGTTTAGTCTATTGCCATTGGTTACATTAAAGAACAAGTCTAGTGGGCGTTTTTCAACAAGAAGGTTAGTACTCTCACTGATATTAGAATCAAACTAACGGGATATAGTAGAATCAAACCCATGGTCAATGAGGTATCAGATTGTAAACACTAAAAGTTTAAAATTGTACCTACATAGTATCATCAAGACCTTGCGTATTCATTCACATTCCCAAATAGCCAAAATATATATACCTGCAAGAAAGCAATGGAACAATATACCCATTAAAAAGTCACAAAAAGATTAGCAGAAACTGGCCCAACTATTATAATTATATGGTTCTATTGGCATATTCAGACTTCAAATTTGATAGAGAAGCTAATTTATCAAACAAAATAATGATAGAGAAATTATTAACTGTGCCATGCAATTTTCAACAGGAAAAAAAAAATTCAAATACTATGTCTAACCACAATTCACAAAAGCCATTTTCCTAGAAAATTTGGTTAATTAAAATAATGTACGAATATTTATTAGTAACACACTATAAAATTGCAACAGTAATCGGGCTTCTTAACTGAAAAGCAAGAGGTCAAAATTTCACAAAGAAAAAAATAACCCTACCTATAAAGAATGTCGAAATGTTCAACCATAACACAACCTTATATTATTCCATAAGCCAACTTAATATCAATCCACAAAGTGGAATTATAATGCTTACTTGTCACAGAGGGCATGCTGCAATGAAGGCATGAGGCCAAACTTAGTGAGCCGCAGCACTTAGCAGCTATCTACATACCAGAATAAGGATTTTGGAGATGATAGCAGCTTTCGGAAAGACTCAAAATCAAAGATTGACCTGGAAAATGTGAAATAATCAAGTGAAATTAACATTGTCCTGATAATAAGCTAAGAAAATCATATTCACCATAAATAGGTAACCAAAGTCACAAAGGAGGATTCCTCTCACAGTTAAGGACATGTTTTTGCTGTAGCACCAACAAATTGAAAATCATATTCAAGTATAATAGGTGATCAAAAAGAGGTGGTTCATGGTGAACCCCTGAGTGAGAACGAAAATGTTTAATCAAAGAGACTTGAAACTCATAACCACATAAATAACAATCTAATTATTATCATGGATGGACGTAACATCCTTTATTATGTTTTTAGACACAAATCATAAGACTATATATCTCTAGTTTCATTTCACCTGTAATTTAGAGCTTGCCCCCTTCCAGTTTAAACTTTAAAGGATGCTTTTCTTTAATCCTAGTTCTTGACAATCAGTGAAGAGTAATAACATATACAGACATTAAAGTTGAAACCTTTTCCAAGCAGATGCTACACATACAAAAAGATATTAAGCTTAAAGACCTTAATATCCAGCTTTGGATAATTGGCAAGTATCTCCTAACCTTCCCTTATATGCTACAAATTCTGACCTTAGCTTAGGAGCAATGGAATTTGATTAGAATTATTCAGAGCACAAAAATACGGATAAACACATACAAAAAACTCTGAGTCGCACGATATTGGAGAAAATTCATCTGGTGGTTCATCAACCGAAGGCGACGATGATCCAAAATCAAGGGCAGGGTAGACGCCAGGTGGCCATTCTCGAGGTTTAATTGACAGCAATTGGCTAGAGTCACCAAAGACATCTGCCCACCCGTAATGCGGCTCAGCCCTTAATCAAAAAGTGAAAGATCAAAATTACTTTTACAGTAAGAGCAATACCAGAAGATGTAATCTAAATTATTTATATTTGGTTCCCCTGAAATCCTTTTGACTGCTTCAACATACTATATGCAGACAGAACCAGAACCAAGTAAAGACTCTTACTCATAATAGGTCTCCTCATCCACAACAATATCCCAGCTTTCCCCTGTCATGCTTTTCCCAGATTTGTGCACCTTACTGCAAAGAGAGAGCAAGTTAACTTGTCAAAGAAAAACCAGAACAATATATGCCAATGCAGTTAGCAAGTTTATTTCCTTTCGTACCCATTTCCAAAGTGCTCTTCTCCCTATGTCCTTGACCAACCTAGACATGAGAGAACAAAAACAGAGTTACATCAGATTAAATTATTGAAAGAAAAAGTTCACTTCTGTTGTAACGAATCGACAATCAAGCAACCAAGTTATGAAATACGAATTTAAAATGTACCTATTTACTGTGTCTGAAATGAATCTGTGAAATCAAATAGCTGAACCCTAAAAAGCCCCATGCAAATAGCATAAGAAAATTGAAATTAACCCTAAAGAAATTGGGAGAGAAGAATATGAAAAGGGAATACCTTTTGGCCCTTCGAGTTATTGGAAAAAAAACCCAACAGAGCAAAAGATAAACAAAAATACAGGAGGAAAGAAAATAAATTTTCAACTTGTAAGATTCATACACGAACAGATTGACAGTCAAAAGCATTTCGGAACTCAGAGCCATCAAGCTTTTTGATCTGCAGGAAATTATTTATTAAGTTTGAGATTCTCATAGACGCTTCAGACACATCGACATATTGAAAAAGCATTTTAGGTAAGCTGCTGTGAAGGTAGAGGCCCAAGAAGCTCATATGAATGAAAGGATTTTGCTTGCTGCACACATAGACCTGTAAACTCGAGCAAACCCAATGTCAATCAGACCATAGGCCGAAAATATCAACAACAAAAAAACTGAGCACTGTTATCCATCGTAACAAAATCAACTGTGGAGTATTAGACAGTGCAATTACAAAATCGGTATGCATTCTCAACTACCTTGGTTGTCCTCAGGTCTGAAGACATGGTCAAACTTGAACTGCTTTTTTGAGGAATCAGAACAAATGATCTGCAGCTCGTTATTTAGGGAGGATTCGAATTCAACAACGAAACCAGATCCACTTGAAATTTCAGTTTGATTCAAAGGTCTACATCTGCAGAAAAATCGGATATTGCCCTTAAGCTCAATCACTTCATTGTAAAGTCTAAAAAGGAGAAGAAAAGCGTGCGAAAGAGAGAAAGCAGACCAGCGGACTGAGGAGGGAGGGACAGAGAGGGAGGCTAAACCACATTTAAATACCTGATTCTCTTTACTTAGGAATATGGCATTTTCCATGATCTTCAAACATTTCAAAAGCAGAACCAGGCTCCGCACCATGCCGTTTTCATTTTCCCAAATAGAATGCGAGCTTCCTTTTAGCCAACCCTGCATATTAATTTCTGGTGCTTAGTAAGGCAATTTCCCCAATAACAATTGAGTACCATATGGACCCCAGGATTCAAATGGAAAAGGTAAGTATATAAATGGAAAGGTTATATTATGTCGAAGGAATTTTGGTTATCATAACTCAATGTGTATGATGTGCACATAATAAGTAAAGAAAACAAATCAATGACTGAGAAGTGATATTGTTAGCATGCAAAACCACTCATGTTACTCCAAGAAGAAAATCAGGAACTACAACGAACAATAAAGAAGATGACGCTATCCAAAGGCAAATGGATAACTGTCCATTTGTTACTATAAAACTACCAAAGTGTAGTCAGTGTTGCTCGTAAATTGAAGAAATATATAGGTTACAGAACAGAAGAAACTTGTGAATCTAGATACAACTAAGGCTGCACACCATCATTTTGGTTCTTTACCATCACATGCATTATTTTTTCACAGAAATTTATTATTTACATAGTGAACCAAGAAATTATAGATGAAGTAGCACAGTGAAGTAAATATCTCTCATAACTATTTAAAGCATTACAGTCCCTTGGTATTCTTTTAACATTTAATGAAACACACAGTGAGATCAAACAAACATAACAGGTTCACACCTCCATATTGGAATGGCAATCCATGGTCACCTCAAATACAGCATCAAGACCTCCAAGCTCTCGTAATTTTTCCTTAAAGTTGCCCCCCGACTTCCTTACCGCACCAGTGGTTTCTGAAAGTACAGGCCATAAGTTTGAGATCCTGACTAAGTAATGCATAAAAATATGTATCAGAACCAGAAAACCATAAGCTTCAACACAGACTCAGACCTTCAAGAGAGATAGTAGATAAGCAAGCTTTCTCCATAGTCAGCAAAGCTATCCATTTTGGGCATAACTCCGGATTTTCCATTTCTCCTTCATCCGCACAACTCAGTTCAGTAGCAACAATTCCTAATTTTATTACAAAATTAAAAGGGCAAGAATTGCAGAAATTACCCACCTTCGTCGCTCACGTCACTGTCCACCCGCTTGCAATCGTCTCTAGGGTTTTGACTGAAGAAAAAGAGGGATGCAGTCAAATCAGAAAATCTCCAAATTCTACATTTTCTACTGGAAAATAAAATTAAAACTATAAGAAGCAGTAATCTTCGAATCCGAGGCTCAAATTCAAACCTTTCTTGTAATTCAAAAATTAAAAAAAGGGGGAAAGGCAATTGTTTACCTTGAGCACAGAGGGCTTCCTACAACCAATTGTCAAGACTTGTGTTTGATCTGCATACATGTCAAGAATAAAATTTAAAACTTTATCACAGAAATACATAAGCAACCAAGAATTGCAAAAAAATCCATCAACAGAGGAGCAAAACAATAAGTAAAAGAGCCTTCTAACATCCTTATCACACAAATACAGAAGCAACAAAGCATGGAGAAATAATCTAGCAACAGAGGGATATTCAAAGGATGTAAAGCAGAAAAGGAACCTCAATTCGATTTGTTGACAAGAAAACAGCAGCAAAGCATGAAGAAACACAGAAATGAGCACAGTGCAACCCCCTAAGTTAAAAAGACACAAATCTGACTCTAACAGTGTACGAAACAGTGCACTAAACAGACCTATCTTCCTAACACCCAACTAAACAGGCTATAAACATCCATTACAATTTTATTGAAACAAAAAAAAAGTCAATCACAGTTTTATCAAAGCAAATGGAAAACCAAACAATAAACAATGATTTCTGAACAGTGTTTTACCTGTTGAATCAGGGGACAAAACTGAAAACCCTCTCCTCTCCCATACCTCCCTCAGGCATCCTCTGCCCACCAACCCCGTGGGGTAACCCGTTAACCCCAAAAAACGCACGGCATGCTCTCTGCCCTCTCTCTCTCTCTCCCTGTCCATCCGTCCCTCAAAAAATCGGAAAAAATCTCTAAATATCTCCCCCACTCAGTCGAAAACATTCTCTCCGCCCTCTCTCTCTCTCTCACTCTCCATCCTTGTCTCAAAAATTCAACAAAATTCCTAAATCCCTCTCCCACCCAGTCGAAACCCCTAACTCCCATCTCTCTCCAACCTGTCAGTCCCTCTGTCCCCCTCCTCTCCTCCCCCAACGACCCTCTGACGGATGCATCACCTACGGCCACACCCACCAGCCCCCGGGCCAATATTCCCAGCGATCCTCTCCCTCCAACACGTCAACCCTCCCGTTCCCCTTCACTTGTCTCCCCGAGTGAAAGGCCACATCCAGCCCAAAGACCCAAAAGCTTTTCTGAAGCCCAGCGGAAAAAAGATCTAAAACCCTATCTGAAGCCCAGTGGCAATTTTGCAAATAACGTTAACTCAGGGGGTAGAGAGACTCAGTAGCACTTTGGTAAATAAAATGAAATTGAGGCAAAATTGCACGGTGCCGTTCCCGCTTCTACTTTAGACTAAAGTAACGTGCTTGAAAGATGAACAAAAAGCCCAACCAATCTACTTAATACTCTACTTTCTCTGATGGAACGCAAGGATACTTTGTTCATTTCTAAAGAAATTATCAGGATCAACTAAGGCTTTCCCATAAACAAGTCTCTTAAGTTACTCTTAAAATACTTCAAACCCCAAATGCTTGCTTGTCCATAGCTTGTATTACAAGCATTGTTCTTCCCCAACTCAAGATCCCTATAGTTCAAACATGCAGCCCTTGGGGACTTCGAAACATTCGGCGCCATCTACACATACACCTTTGTCATCCATCTAATAAGTTCTCAGTTTCTTGGTCATCATCCCAAGTGAGCAAGTACTGGAATCCATATATTCCCGAGTAGCGCCTTACTCTTTCGTGCAATTTTATAACACCGCTCTCCGAGAGTAGCACCTAACTCAATCCGTGCAAAGTATGCACTCTCCTTTCCTATGTCACTATGGATGTACTGTAGATTGAAGAGATCAATGATGATGAAGGGAGCTTTAGAAGCATAAAGGCACCGTAGTCATGACCCAAACTTCGGAATCTCATCTCTATGCCAAGTTTCTTGGAGCAAAAAACTGCTATTTGAACATGAGATTCATGGAGAGGAGTAGCGCTAACTGGTTTTAGCGTTGAATTATCCAAGAATCTGCTGTTCTGAGGCAAAGGAATAAGCACAACTGTTGTTGGTTAGTGGGATAAATTGAAGAAATCTATGATAAGTAAAATTTGAACTGGTGAACCAAACTGAGTTGAAAAGATGAGAAGTAGACCTACTAGAAAGTCGCCTATGGGAAGAGCATATCTGACCAATATGAGCCTGTCCGAGATTTGTCTAAGATCACCATAAGTATTTCCTCAAACGTATCACATGAGTAGAGCTCAATCGTGTGTGTGTATATATACATACATACATACATACATACATACATACATACATCTGGCTGTTGTTCCTACTTTTGTAATACTCACATTTCACGCAATAATGAGAGTCGAACAAATTGTAAGTTAAATGAGGAAGCACGATCAACCTAGTATCGATGCAGTAAAATGCTAAGAACTTACTGAGACACAATTAAAAATATTTACATACAACGGATCATAGTCTTGGCTAGGAAAGCATTCCCTCTTACCAACCTGCAATAAGCAAGTATACCAGTAAACTGAGTAGCTTCCCCGTTGGTATGTTGGAATTTGATCCGCTATTCACATCTGTATGTGAACCTGCAATCAGCAACCAAAGTCAGTGCCGTTGGGGAGCTCGCGGTTAGGGCAACAAAATGTATGGGAAGATTATAGTTTGAGCATCTGATCATCCAATCAAACAAGTTATGTTTACACCATGTTTGGGAATGTTATAGGGCATGGAAAAGCAAGGTGTTAGCACAAATGTGCACTGCAACGAACTGTATGTTGATTCTTTGAGCTTAATTATTATTACATCAACTGCTAATTGGCTGCGGACTTTCATCGAACAGGTTGAGTGCACCCAATAGAGAATGCATTCACAATGACCATTGTTAGGAGGGAATCACCCTACTGTTTGACAAAACATCCATGATCATAACAGTAAATCAGCAACAGTTCTTATTATTCAAACACACACGCTTGTTTTATCTTTTTCACTCTACTTCATTGTGCTCCTGAAATTGAAGGCAACTCAACACAACAATAACAGTAAACACATGTATGTGGTGATATCCCCAAAAAGAGAAGACCAAAATCCAAAAGGGTCATCTCTAAAGGAAAAGACTTACCTACACTTCTTAGCAGGAATATAACTTAATAACAAATTACTATTGTAATTAGTTTGAGATACCGCCATGCAGGTAAATCTATTTATTTATAAGTGCACAAAGACTAAGAAAATGAAAAATCCTTCGTTGTCAATGCTCACATATTTTTTGTGTCTATATCTCTCGTCAAATAACTTTATGTAGACACATCACATGATGATTCTATGAGAAAACGACCGAGTCGCAAGGGACCTTCAATGATTGTACTCCATCTAATAATCCACACCCTTCAAATCTAACCGTGTCACAAGAATCACAGCCACAAAATCAAGACCAACCCACCAACAGAAGCTTCTTTGCAATTTCAGTTTTCAATGACTCAACTTGACTTTGACTTAAATGGAATTGTGAAAGGAACCTATATTGTGACTTTTTACAATCTTAGACTATAGGAAAGGTTTTCCACAAAATATGAGGTGAAGAATCTGCATCTGGATGGTTTAATCCAATTAGGCATATTGTTCAAATAAAATAAAAGATTAGTCGTAAGCATAATTCTTCAGAATTTGAAAATACTCTTGGGACAAGAAAGTTTCCTCTTATTCTTCGAGTTTAAGGGTATATGGTTTGCACCTTGTGACCTTTCATTGACAAATTAATCTCGCTTAATCCTTTATTATTATTAAAAAAATAAAATAAAAACCTCGATACTTATCATTAGTATGGTAAAAACTAATCACAAGTTTCCAACTCAAATAGATGGGAATACAGGGATGCTTTGTTCATTCCTAAAGAAGTTACCAGGATCAACTAAGGTCTTCACATGAACAAGTCTCCTAAAATTATTCTTGAAATACTTTAAGCCCCAAATGCTTGCTTTTCCACAGCTTGTATTACAAGCATTGTTCCTCCCCAAGTCAAGATCCCTATAATTTAAATAGGCACCTCTTGGGGACTTTGAAACATATGGTTCCATGTAGTCATACAGCCTTCTCATCCCGCCAACATGTTTCTCAGTTTCCTTGCCATCATCCCAAGTGACCATATACTGGATTCCGAATATGTTGCCGATTCTGTGTGGGAAAGGAGTTTCCGAATCCGAAATCTCACTCATCTTTCCACCATAAGGTGTCAATATCAAATAAGCTTTTACTTCAATCAGTGTTTGCCATAAACCTTCCAAGCCAGCTTCCGAAATTGGTTTAGTCACATAGTCTGATTTTGCTTTGAAGAAGCTCTTAGATTGTTGTGTTCTCCCAAGCAAAGCTTCCGACTCGTTTATCGACATGCCGGCAAAGTATAGAACAGACTCGATCCAGCTCATTTCAGTGCAGTTGCTGCGGTCTAAACTTAACTCCGGAAAATTGTCTTGCATCAAAGTGAGAAGTTTCTCGACTGGCCCAAGAAACAAGGAACCGAATTCAATATTAATAGTTTTGCCACCATTTGCGCCAGCTTTATTTCCAACACTTATGACTGAATGTAGGAAAATGTCTTCATGAAGCGTATCTGCAATGTTTTGCCATTTCGAAAATAGTTTGGTTGCGCCTTGTTCTATGGTCTGTGAAATTTTGAAAACTGTCACAGATGGAGGAACAGGAACCAACCTAAGTTTCCATTCCAAAATGACTCCAAAGCTTGAGCCTCCCCCTCCTCGAATAGCCCAAAAGAGTTCTTCTCCCATGGATTTTCTGTCGAGAATCCTACCATTAACGTCAACAATCTTAGCGTCAATAACATTGTCAGCTGCTAGACCATATTTTCGGAATATAGTGCCAAATCCACCTCCGCTAATAAGTCCCCCCACACCCACAGTTGGACATGTCCCTGCTGGAAATCCATGAATTTTACTCTTTTGTGCAATTGTGTAGTACAACTCTCCGAGAGTAGCACCTGACTCAACCCAGGCACTCTCATTCTCTATGTCAACATCGACAGACCGAAGATTGAAAAGATCGATGATGATGAAAGGAGCTTCGGATACATAAGATAGGCCCTCGTAGTCATGGCCCCCGCTTCGGGTTCTTATATGTATGCCGTCTTTCTTGGCGCATACCACAGCTGCCTGAACATGAGAGTATCGAGAAGGAGTAATAATAGCATGTGGTTTCGGTGTTGATGTGTTCAAGAATCGGAGATTCTGTATGGAGGATTGCAAGACTAAGGAATAATCCCAAGTGCTTTCGGTGAGGATGATTTTGCTTGTTGAGTTAGAATGTATGCGGGATGAAAAGCAAGGGACAAAGCTTTCCGAAATCGGGTTCGAAGTTGTAGAATAAACCGAGTTTAGAAGGAAGAAAAGTAGTAGGGGAAGTAGTTTTATGTGGGAGATCTCCATCTCTATTTGTTCTACGTATGTGAAATGGTATGAGCTCCAAGCTCACTTATATAGGTAAGATGAGTTGGAAGAATTGAAAAGATATATGCGTAGACTTTTCACAATCGATCGCCTAACAAAAGAGCCGTTTCATAAACGTTTGCCCAACAAAAGAGACTTTTTATGCAAATAATTTAATATCTGTACATGGATCTAATACAAATTATTTAATACGTTTTCAATTCAATTTTCCGTCTATGTGACAATGGAATAGTTACAATAACTACCAAGATTTATTGTACTAAGTGAGGTCGGCTGTATGAATATTAAAATGTCATTGTGCTTGGTTTTTGTGTCAAGTCTTCGGTTAGCTCAAAGTACTCCATATATTTTCTTAGTCTCTTTCAAAGTCTTCCTAGGTATTTCTCTATTTCTTTTGCCATGAACTTCTGTCTCATAGTCACATCTTATAAAACAACAATTGTGTATTTTGACATCAATTTCTATTTATTGTAAAGAAGTATATATTCGTCGAAAACAATTTCCATTTATTTAAAGAAGGTTATAATTCTTTTATTGAGATACAAGCAAAGTTAGGAACTTGTAAACGTTGGTTGAGGCTGCCTAATATCTATCGTTAGTTGACATGTGCTTGAAAGATGAACAAAAAGCCCAACCAATCTATTTAATATTCTACTTTCCCTGATGGGAACACAAGGATACTTGTTCATTTCTAAACAAATTACCAGAATCAACTAAGGCCTTCCCATAAACAAGTCTCTTAAGTCACTCTTAAAATACTGCAAGCCCCAGATGCTTGCTTGTCCATAGCTTGTATTACAAGCATTGTTCTTCCCCAACTGAAGATCCCTATAGTTCAAATACGCAGCTCTTGGGGACTTCGAAACATTTGGCGCCACTCTACACATACACCCTTGTCATCCATCTAATAAGTTCTCAGTTTCTTGGTCATCATCCCAAGTGAGCAAGTACTGGAATCCATATATTCCCGAGTAGCGCCTTACTCTTTCGTGCAATTTTATAACACAACTCTCCGAGAGTAGCACCTAGCTTAATCCGTGCAAAGTATGTACTCTCCTTCCCTATGTCAATATGGATGGACTGTAGATTGAAAAGATCAATGATGATGAAGAGCTTAGAAGCAGAAAGGCCCCCGTGGTCATGATCCCCACTTCGGAATCTCATCTCTGTGCCATGTTTCTTGGAGCAAAAAACTGCTACTTAAACATGAGATTCATGGAGAGGAGTAGTGCTAACTGGTTTTAGCGTTGAATTATCCAAGAATCTGCGTTTCTGTATGCAAAATTGCAAGGCAAAGGAATAAGCAGAACTGTTTTTGGTAGTGGAATAAATTGAAGAAATCTATGAGAAGTAAAATTTGAACTTGTGGACCAAACTGAGTTGAAAGAGAAGTAGACCTACTGGAAAGTCGCCTATGGAAAGAGCATACGTGACCAATGTAAGCCTGTTCGGGACTTGTCTAAGATCACCACAATTATTTCCTCTAACGTATCACGTATGACATGTAGAGATCAGCCATATATATATATATATATATATCTGGTTGATGTTCCTACTTTGTACTATGAGTTGAAAGAAAATTGCAGTCATTGGATGCACACTGGAAGTTTCTAAGTGGAAACTTCAAAGTGAAAAATATTCTAGGATGAAATTTAACAAATGGCATAATTTTCTCATGGAGACATCAGCAAATAACTCATCTCTTCTAAAATGGCTGCAATGATCAGTTTGTCACCTACTATTAAGTGCCGCATTCTCACAGACCAGGGAACTACTTGCTTGGTTTACATATCTGTCCTAGCTTAACCAGAGAATCAACTACCCGCCCTCGACTCAATTGAGGTTTTAAAAGTGGCACTTCAGATGATGGTTTCCACCTCCAGATTAAAATGACTTCGTATTAGACATGAGTACTGTAGTAGCATAGAAATCATAATTCATGGCCCTATCTCCAAAAATCTATTTTCAACTACACCCTAAACAAGACTTCTTCGTTTCTATTTCTTTCTAGCTACACGCTAGAAAGCCGAACATGCTATATGCATGAGGCATTACCCGAATGCCTTCTTACTGAAACTAGGGTTGTTTTTATCTCCCTACAATGCCTTCTTATTCGAGTGATGCTTCTTGTTTATCTTTGTTCCGTTTTACTCCATTTTCACGCAATAATGGGAGTCAAACAAATTATAAGTTAAAAGAGGAAGCACGATGGACTTAGTAAGTACAAATGATAAGAATTTATGAAGAATTAAAAATATTTACATACAATGGATCGTAGTCTTGGCTAGTAAAGCATTCCCTCTTACCAACCTCCAACAAGCAAGTATACCAGTAAACTGAGTAGCTTCCCCGTTGGTATCTTGGAATTTGATCCGCCATTCACATCTGTATGTGAACCTGCAATCAGCAACCAAAGTCAGTGCCGTTGGGGAGCTCAGCTTTAGGGAACAAAATGTATGGGAAGATTATAGTTTGAGTATCTGATCATCCAATCAAACAAGTTATGTTTACATCATGTTTGGGAATGTTATAGGGCAAATGTGCACTGCAACAAACTGTATGTGGATTCTTTGAGCTTAATTATTACATCAACTGCTAATTGGTTGCGGACTTTCATCGAACAGGTTGAGTGCACTCAATAGAGAATGCATTCACAACGACCATTGTTAGGAGGGAATCACCCTACTGTTTGACAAAACATCCATAATCATAACAGGAAATCAGCAACAGTTCGTATTATTCAAACACACACACTTGTTTTATCTTTTTCACTCTACTTCATTTTGCTCCTGAAATTGAAGGCAACTCAACACAACAATAACATTAGACACATGTATGTGGTGATATCCCCAAAAAGAGAAGACCAAAATCCAAAAGGGTCATATCTAAAGGAAAAGACTTACCTACACTTCTTAGCAGGAATATAACTTAATAACAAATTAATATTGTAATTAGTTTGAGATACCGTCATGCAGGTAAATCTATTTATTTATAAGTGCACAAAGACTAAGAAAACGAAAAATCCTCACATATTTTTTGTGTCTATATCTCTCGTCAAATAACTTTGTGTAGACACATCACATGATGATTCTATGAGAAAACGACTGAGTCGCAAGGGACCTTCAATGATTGTACTCCATCTAATAATCCACACCCTTCAAATCTAACCGTGTCACAAGAATCAAATTCACAGCCACAAAATCAAGACCAACCGACCAACAGAAGCTTCTGTGCAATTACAGTTTTCAATGACAGCTATTTTAACTCAACTTGACTTTGACTTAAATGGAATTGTGAAAGGAACCCATATTGTGACTTTTTACAATCTTAGACTATAGGAAAGGTTTTCCACAAAATATGAGGTGAAGAATCTGCATCTGGATGGTTTAATCCAATTGGGCATATTGTTCAAATAAAATAAAAGATTAGTCGTAAGCATAATTCTTCAAAATTTGCATACTTTTATTTTCTTTTTCTGCACATTTCTTACGCCGAAAAAAAAGAGAAAGTGCAAAAATCAATTCCCGTTACTTCCGCTTTAATTTTTTGTTTTTTCCAATGATTGAACTAGTCCTCTATGAGATAAACTAATCAGATGAAAATGACATTCACGGCAAGCATACCCCATTACACAAGGTAGAAAGAAATTGTGAAGTCAGCCTTCAATATAAATGGCATTGTCCCAACTCTCTTATACATGTCTCAATCTCTCACAAATCCAAAACCAAATATTAATCTGGAGCAGGATAAAAGTAAAACCACATTGTATATATTCACTGTGACACGAACTGAATCAAAATGACCCAATAATTATAACATTTTCATATTTTTTTAAACTTATTACTATGAATCTATGACCAATCAATAACCAAAAATCCATGCTTTTGTATCAACTTCCTAAGTTCTCTTATTCCTTACTTGGAAGAATTGGGATGCTTTGCTCGTTGTAGAAGAAATTTTCGGGATCGACGGCGTCTTCACCTTCACCAACCTATCAAAATTGTCATTGAAATACTTCACCCCATATACCTTTCCTTCTTCATATGTAGGAGCTCCCGTTTGAACTAGCACCAATGTCAAGGTCCCTATAGTTCAAAAAAGCACTTCTTGGATTCTTTGACACAAATGGGGTCATGTAACTGAAAAGCCTTTTGCTTTCTGTGGTGTAGTTCTTCTCCAAGTCCTCCCCTGCATCCTCCCAGTTCACGGAGTACTGAATTTTGAACAAGTTTCCGGCACGGTGGGGAAAAGGCGTCTCGGATGGCGCAATCCGGCTCATTTCCCCGCCGTACGGATTGAAAACAAGTCCTGTTTTCCCTAGCTCGATCATTTTCTTCCATAGCCACTCTAACCCGTCTTTTGAAATTGGGGTTTGGACATAATCAGACTTCCTCTTCAAGAAATTTGCATCGTTTGGCATTCTGTCAAGCAACGCTTCCGGAGAGGTACCAATGTCGAAATTCGCCCACCAGAGGACAGATTCAATCCAGCTCGTCTCGGTACAATTTTCCTTCGTTAACCCCAATTCAGGAAACTCCTTTCCCAACAATGTCACAAGTTGATCGCCATTGCCTAGAAACTCAGCCAAAACTGAAGCTCTAACAGTCTTTTCACCCTTCTTCACTTTAGAACTCACAGGCTGCAACAACAGCCTCAAGAACAACCCATCATCCGTAGTCGGCGCCACCTCCTGCCACCGCAAAACGAGGGAGGTTGCATCCTCTTCCAACGTTTTCTCGACCCGAAAAATTGTAACAACTTCCGGGACAGAAACCAACTTCAATTTGTACGAAATAATGACTCCAAAGCTTCCACCACCTCCTCCTTTAATAGCCCAAAACAAGTCTTCTCCCATCGATTTTCGATCGAGAAGTTCCCCGTTCGCATTGACAATCTGAGCATCAAGGACATTGTCGACAGCCAGGCCATACTTCCTAAGCAAGTTACCATATCCGCCGCCACTTATGTGTCCACCAACACCAACTAGTTGGCAAATCCCCGCCGGAAACGCGTGAACTTTGCTCTTCTCCCAAATCCTATAGTACAATTCTCCGAGCGTGGCGCCGGTCTGAGCCCAAACGGAGTTGTCCTCAATGTTCACCGTGATCGACCTGAGATTAAACATGTCAAGAACAATAAATGTCTGGCTAGACCAGTACGAAATACCCTCGTAATCGTGGCCGCCGCTTCGGATTTTGAGCTGTACGCCGGCGAGCTTGGCACAAAGGACGGAGGCCTGGACATGGGATTCGGTTAAGGGTGTGACGACAAGGATTGGCTTTGGGGTGGAGGTTCTGTTGAACCTGGAGTTTCTGATGTAGGCTTGTAAAATTGGTGTGTATGAAGGGTTGTTCTGGGCATACACTATGCTGGACAACTGGGTTGTGTTTGATGAGTTCGTTTTGGTATTTAGGCATTGGAGAAAGCTGTCGTAGACAGAATCTGAAGCTGCCCAATGAAGCAGACGCTTGAAGAAGGAGAAGAGAAACAAGAACTGGAAGAATCTAGACATGGCGTCCCTCATCGGTTTTGTTAAATTTGTTGAATGTTTGCAAGGGATTGGTCCTCTTATATATAGACACAGAGGCACCAACCAAGGCCGCGTGTTGGAACAGTATTTGCACTGGTTCACTCTGACCATTCATGGCGGTTACCATTACATTTGTTATTTGGAATCGAGATTAAAACATTAAAAACAATTTAAATTATTATACTAAATTTATCCGAATTACGAAAAATGAAATCCGAACTTGATAGGATAGCACAATAGTTTAGCCAATTTAGTTATATAGAAAAGAAGTTTCACACACTATATTTAGCATCTCATACACGTCTTTATTTTTATTATCGAACAAGAAACTCAAAAAAATATCAACATACTAAATTAAACAAATGTATGTACAAAATTAAAACGTGTATCATTTTCTATTCGGATTATGCATTAATGAGTAGGATAGCATTTGATTTTTGGTACCATGGATTTAAAATTAAGAGAAAAATGAGTTTCTTTCTTTAATTTAATGGAAACCTTTAGGAAAGTAATCTGGTTTGCCGTTTGGGCAAATCGGCACCAATCAATCGTTGCACATCTCAAGCATCTTACTTTTCCTAAAACTCCGGCGGGATTAATCATGAATGTAATATTTTTGTGATGTGTGGTCCAAATAAACTGAAATTGTGTACATTTTATTATTGACTTTGAATAGTGATATTTAAAAAAATTGTGATATTTTGACTTTAAATAGTCGTAATTTGACATGATATTATTGACTTTTATTTCTTTAAAAAAATTTAGGCTTAATTGGAAAAATCAAACTAAATCCAAATTGACTCCTACAAAACACATAATTCACAGAAAAAGATCGTACTTGAACCGAATGGTACTTGAACCTTCCTGTTAAAGTCGGTGGTATTGCTTTAAAGAACTTTTAGAAATTTTGTTATCAAGATCTTATGATCATTTTTATAAAGAAAAATTAATGAAAAAAATTTGAAAATTTTGAGTTTTAACGATAATGATAAAATAAATAGTACCACGATTGATTTTTTAATGTAAAAATATGATTTTTTGTTAAAATAAATAGTACCAAAAACCTTTTATTAAAATTTCGTTTTATAAAAATCAGAATTTTGAAGCTTTCTCGAAGACAAACAAAGCCACGATTTGTTAGGAAAAATACCAAACCCATGATTTAGAAAAGAGTTATGTCGGAGTAGTTGTCAGGTTTTAGTTATTGTTTATTTGTTTATATAGGGAGATGCGATTATATTTTTGCAACCATATGAATTGTTTTCTAAATAGCTAGGGAGATGACAAGAGAACTCAAATATATCCATATATAATGACAAATTCATTAATCAAGTTTTGGTAAGAATTGATCTTTTCTTTCTTTTTTTTTTTACATAAAAAAATTCTACTCTGTCGATAGTGGAATTGAGTTGGACCACACAATGAATCAGTCACTAACTAGGTATCAAACTCTACACAAATATAATACGTCATCTTCATTCATTTGAGTCAAACTTTATATGCATCACATACAAGTGAAGAAGTTGTCACTAGACTATAATTTTAGTTATCGCATGTTTGTAACTTAACAAGATATTAAAGTGATAAATTGTATAAGATGGTTAAGTTTAGCCTTGAACCTATCGGGCACACCCAATCTACCATGTATTGAACCTAAAAATTACAAGGCATACGTGGCGCATATACTAAGTAAAAAAGAGCTAACTCGTCCTTTGACGGCTTGAATTCTAATGCGAGCATGCCAATTCGCTACTGAACTTGACTAGGCAAATAACATGAATGTGGTGATATGGTGGAATGCATTGCTAACTTCTGAATCAAATAACTTCATCCGAGGAAGGAACACTCTCAGCCTTGAGTTCTAAAATGTAAAGACAAGGTTGTGCAAATCATTGTGAAGTTCTGGATCCTGTGTGCACCAGGTTTGGCAGCCTAAACAATTAGGTGAAAATATAGGTCCAACAAATCAGTTTAAACTGTATGGACAACGATACTCGAAGAAGATGAGTGTCTTAATCATAAAAATGGTTCGGTTGTCTGTGTGCCGAACTCTAAATGTGACCTGAGAGTAACCAATCATATAACATCCCAGTTCGTCAAAAAGGTTAATGAGTGATCTCTTTTGCGAAAGAATCAAAGACTCCTCGCCGACTAAGACTTAAGATAAACAATCAACCACAAACTCAGAAAGAATCCTTGTCTTTCCAATCGATTGCCCTCACTAGTTGCTCCTAAAAAATCCCATCTATCCACTCGGAATTTGTGCTAACAATTAGTAAGTCAATCTCACCCGTTTTTGCTCAAACTAGAATTTTGGACCTAGTCTTATTATGTGATCCTTAAGAAATTAACTCAAATCCCATCAAACACCAATCATGATCCCCAAACAATCCCTGTTCTAGAACTCGACCACATCATAAGCTAATTCTGATCTTTAATCAAACCTACTTCGTCTAGGACTCGGCCACTCCATCATCACTATTAGGCCGAAATTAACACCCTCCTTTCTGACATTCTACCAACTTGGCCCAAGCCCAGATAAATTTTTAGTTGTGGAAGGAACACAAGTGGTACATTACGTGTTTTAATAGGAGTAGTGAGAAATTTTATTTTTTAAGTTATTAACTTTTTAGCACACATGTCCCACTATTTGTATAGTAACACATAGTGTACCACCCTATGTACTGACCACACTGAAAAATCTCTCCCAAACCAGCACTTCAGACCCAAACACCGCTCAACTTTGTAGTCTAAAATAAAGTGCATGGTTGTTATGATTGCATCCATTAAAATTCCTTTTTATTGTATGATTCTTATATTCTTTTCCAATGCTTGGTACTGGTTAGGTCATAATCTTTCCCACTATGGCCTGCAATTACAGTATAATACTATATCCCGTGAAACTTCACAAATTAAACATGTGTAAGACAGTAAGAGCATGGACTTTTTCTCGACCCTATTAAAACCTTGGAGGATACATACAGAGAAATGCTAACATGACTCTTTATTGAGACCTTGGAGGATACATACATGAACAAAAGAAAAATGCTAATGTGATTAACTTAAAGTGAAATTCCTCATAAACTTTTTACCAGGTCACAGTTTAACGTTAACTTTCTTACCAATATTAAAAAACATTATGTCCAAAACATAAGGTACCAGAGAGTATATAGAGAGTTTAATTTTTAACAAAGTTTACTTAACATTTCTTTGAACAAAAATAAGTTATTATATAAATATGTCAATTATTCACTGTATAATTAATCTATAACAACCTTTTATTTGTTAAATGTACAGATATATATATAGAATTGTTGATGTAAAAGAGAAAAATCATTGATTACTTATGGTATCCAATGATTAACGATATTGTATTGTGGATGCGTACCGACCATAATAAGCACGTGTTCCCTTTACCTACACTGGACAACTACATACATATATATACACACACACACACACACACACACATATATAATTCAAATATAATGAATGACGAGTTTCATATCTATTTATTCTCCTCACCCTTTAATGTAAAGATATCATTGTCTAAATGAACCAATTGAAAAATAATTGTAGTTTAAGATATTTTTTGTAAGACACCGATATATTTACATTATAGAGTTGGAGATTAGATCCAAACAATCAATGGTTAGTCAAATATTTTGGTAGCGAGCTTGCTCATAGGTGGATTATTTCTCATATTTTCATCTCAATTATCCTTAGGTTTTGTTAAGGAATTGGTTATAAAAGAGACTTATTACTTTCCTTTTCTTATTTTTAGCAAAGTTCTGCACTTATAACACTTTTTATGATAAATCGGCTTCAGAAGAAGTTTTGATGCAAGGCCAATTGGATAAAGAATCGAAGAGACCGAAGATCATTTGTCCAAATTTCATAATTTTTTATGGAGCCAAACATTCCAATTTTATAGTTCAATCCTGTAAAAGTTACATTCCCGTCAGAACTGTGCAGTTATGGAAGAATGAAGATTTGAAGGCTTTACCGATTTTTCCTAGTAATGTGCGATTTAAACCTAGAAAGCTAAGACACAGAGCTACATGTTTCCTATTTTTCCAAAATTTTCTAGAAGATGGAACGACCTTAAATCTAGCGGGCAAAGTGACTTACGTGTTTTTCAAGACGAGAATGATTATTTCCTAGTTTGTGTCGTTAATTATTAAGGAATGTGTTTCGTTTTATGAGAATTTTTATCAAACCTTTTAGGATTCTTTAGTATAAAAGAGCCTAGGGATGTACCTTGCCATGGATTCCGGGTTCTATCCTTCTTTTATTTTTATTTCTATGTGTAACTTAGTTATTGTCTAAGGTTATATTGTCTAAGGTTATGATGACGACATGTCATGAATATTTGTGAAGTATTTTGTTAACTAATATTTGATTGAATGCAATGTTGAATTCTTATATTCGATTGTATACCATGTTGAATTCTTAATCTTTGTGCGCATTTTATTTTAGATTCAGATTTCTAATGACTAGTCGCCCTTAAGCATCTAGATAAATAAATTTATTAGGATAACCTACAATTAAGTTTATTGGTTCTAAGATTAAGAAGAGTAGATAAACTAATGAGGATGACCAATTATAACTAATGAGAATGACCAATTATATCAAGCTAGTCTTACTTGGCATGATTCTTCTACGCTTAATGGATTTTTATGTGTTTAATTGTATGCCTAATGAACAATTTGGATCTTTTACGACTTGAAATATACGGCGTACAGTATTGGCATGCCTTAAATGATATTATTCACGACATTCGTAAAGTTCATGTCGTAATACTTGCACATAATCTAGCATTCACGACATCACTTTTGTGCAAGTCGTTAAATAAAAATATTTACGGCCTAAGTATTGTGTGTCGTATTTGACAATTTACATGACGCATTTTCCTTCTCTTTTAAGGCATCACGTTATGTCGCAAAATGAACTTTTTTATATATTTGGATCCCTACCTTTTATGGCACGAATGATACGTCGTCAATAATAGTTCCTAGCTTCGTGCCTAAACTTTCCCACTCCACACCTAACAAAAAATGTTCATCGGGAAATTATAGCACCAGAATGAAATATCAAACAAGTGAAATTCTAGACCATATCCTCTCTGGTGTGCATGTCATACCCAGATTTATTTACCCAGACAACAAACCCCTCTCTCCATCGCTTTGTCGCTATCCATGGTCCCATCTCCATGTCGCTTGTTGTCCACCACCGAAAATTCAAGAACCTAGGAGATCCATTTCGCCAAAACTCAAATCGACATCTAAATCTTCTTCTCCCAGACACACGAGACCGCCGTTTTTCTCCCAATGTTCTAAGTTTGAAGTGTTTTTCTTCAAATTTTTATTTTATTTTTATATAAATTTGGTTTTGAATTTACAGGTACTTTCCTCCAACAGCCCCTCCACCTACACATTTGCACTCCGCAGCCTCCAATTTGGGTTTGATTTTTCTAAGTTTATATGTATTTGTGCCTAGCTTTATTATTCTGTGATTGGGGATTTTTTAACTTGATTTATTATTACATATGGAGGATTTTTTAATCAGTTTTCTATTTGCTTTTTATTTTTCAGTATTTTTCTTTTTGCTGTGAATCTGTAGGATGAAATTATTTTTCTGGGATGCTTCTGTTTTCTTGTTGTTTAAAGGTAAAATCTTTCTGAATAAGAAAAGAAGGTTTAGTAATTTTGGGCTTTGTAGATGCTTTGAAATTGAACCATACATAATTGTTTAAGCCATCACGTTATACTCTGCAGTCAATTCCAAGAGCTATCATTTATGTTTTATGGAGAAGCGATTTTATTATGTGAGGTTCTCTTTGAATCCAGAGCAGTGAGTGCTCTGTACTTAAGTAGTTTTAAAAATTAAAAATATAAGCTATTGTTTATTGGATATTAGGATATTAATGCTCTCAATTGTAATGTTTATCTTTTAGCTGCTCTGCATTGTAATCTTACACGTCCTAGAGGCTTATCTCCTCATGTTGCTTGTGTATACCAATCCTTGCATCACTCATACAAAAATCAATGATTCAATCAATTTTTACTAATGATGGAACTTGTGCTTTATGATTATATTTGGCTTTTGGGATCACTATCTAATCCATAGTTTGTAATACACTTCAATATATATATTTATTTTATATATATTTTTTTTTGTGTTTTTGGTCTTCGACATTTGGATCTTTCTGAATGTTTGGTTAATTCATTTTTTTATATTAATTTTCAATTACAGGTTGGTACTTGGTTGCTTGACGTCTAACCCTTTTATTAGCTCATATGAGGAATTGGGTGCGTGTTGTGTTCTCTTTGTTGTGATGGACTTTTGTTTGAAATTTTTGTTGAAGTTCTTGTTTCACTAAAGTCTACTTGCTTTGCTTTTTAAATGGGATTGAGTATTTTGGGTTTCATTGTTTTATTTAGGAATGGTCTCTTCGTGTATGGTTAGGTACACTAATATGGAAACAATGGTCCAAAGATCCAAATAGCCTGGGTAGCAAATAACTTTTGTCAATCCATTTCTGTCCTTTGCAGGTCGCTCATGCTATTCGTTAGATCACCACCTATATTTCCAAATGCAGTGACAAATATATACAGGTTAAGTGATTTAATAACTTAAATAAGTGTTAATATGCCCACCTTTAAGTGTATTATAGGAATTGTATCAGCACTTTTTTTCTTGTTATAATGTCTTTTTTTGTAAGTTATAAACTTATATATGCATTCGAACAATATTTGGGTTACCTAATCTTTTTTATTGAGTGAAACAGTTTTTGATAGGTATGTTAGAATTGATTCCTTCCCAAATCTACAGTGGTAAGTAATGGCGCCCAATGAATTATCAAATCTGAGGCACCAAGTATTTAAAAAAAATTTAGACTAATATTAATCTAGAGTATTCCAATTCAATTTCCTCTGAAAGAGTTTTAATTATGGTGTTGGGAATTTGTTAATTTTTCTCTCTTTGTGTGATTTGGTTGGGCTTGCAGAGTGACTTGGGTTTCTTTGTATGCATATCCCGGACCTCTAGGTCACATGGGGTACTCAGCAAGGTTCTACTTTTGCAAAGGAGATGGAGATGTTACAGACTTATAGTGATACTGCAATCCAAATAATCTGTTTTGAAAATCCAAATAATCTGTGTTGTAGTAGTAGTAGAATAACACTGGGGCATAGCCTAGCACTTAAATTATTGACTTTGTTGCTTAGCCTAGTACTCTGTGAGTTTGTTATAGTAGTAGTGTAGTACTTTGTTTAGTTTGTACTACTGGATAAAAATGCTAATTTGATTGAGTTCCCTTGGTAAGATTTATATTACTTATTTATTCTATTTCTTTTTACTAATTTTCAGGTAGCATTCAAGTCTTTGGTGAATTTTTAAACGAATAGGTTGCAAATGCAACGGTAATGAGTGGAAAAGTTTATACTTAATTTTATTAGTATTAAAGTCTTTATCAATTTGTAAGTTAACCTTTTGTTTTGACCAGCACTTAACTTACCAACCAAATCCATCTCTGACTAGCTAGAGTATCTTGGTTGGGCACTCTATCCGTTCCAAAGCCTAGTTTCCAAAGACGAAGTTGAGACAGGTTGGGAACTCTCTCTCTCTCTCTCTCTCTCTCCTTTTGTTTTAGTTCCCAAGAAAGTTGATTGGATTGAAGAAAATGAAACAAAAAGAAATGAAAAAAAATTGAAATTTGATTGTTGAATTTGTAATATATTAAGACCAAAAAACTAGATAAATGGCTAACTTTGATGTAAATTGATAATAGTAAGCCACAAGGTCAAAAAACAGTGAGTCTTACCTTACAGTTTTTGGGGATATCATAATTGATAACCATATCCACTGATCGAATATCCAATCTTCTACTTGCCGCATCAATTCTTCATCCGTGAAATGTTAGAGACTCATTAATTTATCTATTCACAAGTATATGATTTTTATGCAGGTTATAGGAAAAAGTAAAATTGTAAAGGCATAATTTGTGTATATTTTAGTCATTTGATACATGTATGAGTGTAAAGCAATAAAATTGTGAAGGCATAATTTGGGATTTAGGTTTGTATGACAATGATTAGGTTTTCTTTCAGTATCACTTTTCTTACTTGAGATTAAATGTGTATTTCTACATATAGTTGTACAATAGATTTTCTTCTGCTCCATGTGCTTATGTCTATGTAGATAGAGAAAGTAATTAGTGTGGTTCATGCATTAGGAGCAGCATTTCACTCTCAAATGACTTCGTTTGGAGGTCTTCAAGGAAAAGTGAAGTCTTTCAATTGACAAATTTCTTTGTTAGTAGAGGCCTATTTGGTATTTCATGTGTAGTTTGATATTGACCTTAGCTTTGTTCAACTTGTAATACATTTTGACAATATGATTACTTATGAATTTATTGTATTATAGTAAATGTGTAATTTTGTCGATTCTTTTATATATATATATATATATATATTAAAAATTAAAATTAAAATAAATGTAAATTATTGTATGCAAATTCAGCAGTAATTGTTGATGCTAGTCTTTGTTTATGATGTACGATATATGCCTTAATTCTTTTCACAGTATTACGACACTCAACAAACGCTATATCAAATATAAATTACGGCACACAGATATGCCGTAATTGTTTTTGCAGTATTACGACACTTTATTAACGCCGTATCTAATACCGATTAAGGTGCGCAAGGCATGCCTTAAAGAGAATTTATGACACTTCATTAACGCCGTATCTAATACCAATTAAGGCGCGCAAGGCACCCCTTAAAGAGCATTTACGAAGTGTTTGCTTAAATTATTTACGGCTACTAGAGAACATCGTATTTGACAAAATATTTTTTACGATAGGGGCTTTTACTGCTTGGGGGCTCACGCCGTGAATAACCATTTACGGCGCCTTTTGTGCAACGCGAAAGACCAGTTTTGTTGTAGTGCCAATAGGATATAGTTATCATGTAGAGATACACGAGTTAATGCCTGACCACAAATTAATTCTTACCTTAAAAAAGAAGAGTTTTAACGAAACACTCCTGGTACTGTTTACTTTTAACGAAAAATCATATTTTACCTTTTCCTGGTACTATTCACTACACCTTTATTTGTCATTTTTCATTAAAATTGATTCGTGCGCTTACGAGTAATTTGATTTGTGACTTTTGAATCTCTTGTTTTTAGATTACAAAAGTACGTCGTCCATAGTAGCTGAACTTAAAACTTTATTCTTACAAGTAAAGAAGAAAACACTAAACTATAGTGCTATACAGCATGAGGTTTAATTCAATAGAGGTACGCGGAGGTTTAATTCAATAGATGTACGCGGTCTCAAGAGACTTAAGATAATGAAATTAGCTCCCATTTAGAATATTCGTTACTTTTGCTCAGAAACGCTTTTCAAATCAAGGGATCGATTCCACCGGGCGAGACAAGGGCGAATGGGATCGAGCCTAAGTTTTGAACTTTTCAAATCAAAGGACCACTGCTTTAATAAAAGGACTTGACTTAATGAAGTCATATATGCTTTGTCTTCTAACTTTTGTTCTTGGCTACACATTCTCTCTTAACACACATCAAACCAAAGAAAAATAATTAGACGCGGCAAATTTGATACACGTTGTAAGTTCATTTTCTAAGATTATAACAACTTAAAGTTTTTCAGTTTAATTGTTGTCTAATTTGGTATTAGTATTAGAGTCTTGTTTACAAGTACTCCTTGTTTGACTAAATGTGGATTCAGGAAGAATATGATTTAGTGATATTTTGAGGTGTCTTTGATTCAAATCATATGTACGATGAGTTTGGTATCAAATTATTATGGTTGATACATTGTGTGTCTTAGTGTTAAATATATATTTTCATTATCCTATTTAACTGAATATTTTCCCATGTTTCCTTTACTAATTAGGGTTTTCAATTCGGAATAAATTAATTTGGATATTTAATTAGGGTTTGTAATCTTAGTAAAATTCGGAAAAAAATGATACAATCATAAGTTCATAAAATTCATATACACAGGAAATCCATTGGAAAAATGTAATCAAACTTCCGGAAAACCTATAATGTGTGGAACTTCAGTAAAATGTGAGGAACTAGGATTGGGTTTCATGCTGAGGAACTAGATAGCCATGTGATGGAAATTCCATTTGCCTTTATTTTCACTTGGATGGTTTTTCTCTTGCCTTTTCTTTTCTCATAATATAACACATATATTTCGATATATAACAGGTATAAGGTTATTATTTCTATCTAATATAAGAGAAATTTATGTTCGATCAGTCGAACAAGACACACCACCTTTATTGTCTGACTGATCTTGAAACATAATCATATGTATTGGATTAAACACGAGAAAACTTTATTTCTTCTAATTCTCTCATTTCAAAGGGAATTCGAATGAATAACTTATCTGAATAATTTAATTTTTGCATTTAAGTTCAACACTTTCGTTTCTTGCTTCAACATATCTTCAATTATATATGCTCCGATCTATACACAATGGCTGAGAGTGACACATTGGAGGAGTAGTGAATTTGCGTTGGGCTTGAAGCCTAATAATAGACTGGTCTAAACCAAAATGAAAGTATTCCATCTCTAGCATTTTCCTTTAAAAAGTTTCCTGGATCTACTGCACTCCTCACTCGTACCAATCTGTCAAAACTCCCCTTGAAGTATTTTGTTCCCCAAACCCTAGCTTCTGAGCAGTTTGCATTGCCGTTTCCTTTTGTCCCCAATTCAACATCTCTACAATTCAGATACGAACACCTTGTTGACTTTGACACATAAGGAGTCATAAACTCATAAACCCTTTTTATTAGATCAGTATTTCCATCTGCAGCCTTCACACCCTCGTCGTTCCAATTCACAGAGTAATGGATTTTGTACTTATTTCCTGCTCTATGTGGAAATGGAGTTTCGAGCTCCGAAATTTCACTCGTTTTTCCGCCATATGGATTGGATTGAATGTCAGCACTGCTTTTTCAGTTCCAACATTTTGTTCCAACGTCCTTCAAGACCTGACTTTGACATTGGCTCTTGGACATAATCAGATTTCTTCATGAACTTTTCTGATTTTTTTTTTGTCTTTCAAGCAACACGTCAGTGGGAATTCCAATTGGGTAATTAGACCAATAAAAAACCGATTATATCCAGCTCATTTCAGTATAATCCTCATCCTTCAAGCACAATTGGGGTAAGCTCTCATCCCTCAAAGCATGAAGCCTTTCTCCATTTCCTAGAAACAATGCCACAAATTTAGCTTTCACTGTCTGATGTCCCTTCTTATTCAGTGGCATCACAAAAACCCTAACGAGAAGATCTTGATGAACTTCATCAGCAATGTATTGCCATCGATGAACAATGTCGGTGGTGCCTTGTTCTAAAGTCCTTTCAACTCTATAAACCGTGACAATTTCCGGGCCGGAAACCAATTTGATTTTCCAAGAAACCAATCACATCAAAGCTAGCTCCACCTCCACCTCTAATAGCCCAGAAAAGGTCTTCTCCCATTGATTATCAACCTAAAACTCTTCCGTTAACATCAACAATTAAGGCATCAAGTTTATTATCAACAGAAAGGCCATATTTTCTCATGTTATTATACAATTGGAGGAAATGTACACTACATGTTATTATTCTTTTGTCCATCTGTCGCTGCATGTCACCCGTTCAGACGAAGATGCATGCCCTAGGGTCCCATACAGCCTCACTCTGACGCACAGGATCTCTTGCTTGTATCTGTTACTGGTTCCCACTGTCCCTCTAGCCAAAGACTACAAAAGACACCCTTGCATTGGAGAGATTTTTTAGCATGCTATGAACACAGCCTAACACATCAAGTGAAAAAAAAAAAAAATCACATTGCCGCACTTTGGTGGGCCCCAATACAAAATTCTCTTGTTTGTGTCCTTGGTTGACGGGTGATGTGGAGTGAACTAAAGAATTTCTCCCTCCTCTAAGAGCAACTCCAATGGTGGGCTATTTGTCAAATTTCCCCCCAAACACCCTCCAACCCATGCTAAAACATTGGGCTAAAAGCCAAATGTCAAAGCTGGGCCAAATACCCCCCCCCCCCCCAAAAAAAATTCCCTCACCCCGATGCGAGTAGACTTGTGGGCAGTTGGGCCACTCTCGGCCCGTTCACTCTCCAACGCGCCCACGCGGTGGGCTTGCAAAGTCTACCCGGCAGGGGTGGGGCCCCCTGTCATAAACTTGTCGGCCACCCAAAATACACCTAATTATTGAGATCTAAGGACCGTTGGTTGATCCAACGGTCCAGATTCAAATTTAATTTTTTTAGAATATGTTATTTTAAAATACATTGAATTCAATGCCTGATATTGAAAATAATCAAATCTAACGGTAAAAAAAAGATCTAACGGCCCAAATTTAAATCCAACGACTAAAATAATTAAAAAAATTATTTAACTCAAAATTTACCCAAAAACTCTATAAATACCTATGTATTTGTTCAATCATCCACACAAAACTCAATTTTCTCCTACAATTCTTTCAATATATCTTTCTACCATTTTTTTCCATTTCCAAATTGTTCAACATGGCAAGAGAGCATATTAGAGGTCGTAATTGGTGAAAGTTTAGTGATTTTGAAAGATTGGTGAAAGTTAGCAGCATGTTCAACACCACCACTTCATTAGCTATTCAGTTTGCGTGCTACGTAAGCTTGATAGTTTTTAGGGTAAATTACATAAAACTACCTCAACTATTGGGTTGGTCACAGTTTCATACCTTGTCTTTAAAAAATTTCAATGTCATACCTCATCTACGAATTTGTTACAATTTCATACCTTCTGTCAGTTTGTTTGTCAATTCCTCTATTAAATGCTGACGTGGCTTGAGGTTGGACCCACTTTCTATTAAAAAATTAATTAAATATTAAAAACTTAAAAATAAATTTTTACATGGGGACCCACCCCTTATTCTCTTTACCCTTTCTTCTCCTCCCGTCTTCCCCAAACCCAGATCCCACCCTCATCTGCGCTTCCCTCTCCCGTCTTCCCCAAACCTAGATCCCACAATACCTCCTCCAACTTCAATTAGTTGTTTGTCTTCGACCCCATCTCCAACCTCTAGTTCCGCCTACCCTCCCCCACCTTCCCCCAAGTCTTCCTCCTTCTTCGACGCTGACGGCTTCTTCCTCATCACCGCCCCCTTTTTCACATTCTCCTCTATTCTCAAGCGTCACTGGTTCTCCATCTCCTCTCTCCGATTTTCCCTCATCAACCCCTTCGTCGGCATCGATTCTCCCCCTCCTCTTCCTTCGCCTTCTCCTCCCCCATCCCTAGCTTTGTCCTTCTGGACGACGTCCGATTTTTTGCTCCTCTGGTCTCCCTTCCCGTTGATTTTCGCTTCGGAAACTTGTCGCAATTGCTCTCCTCCGCCCTATTGGGACCCAGA